CATCTTTTGGAGTTTAGAGGACGTTGCATATACAAACAAGCATTATACAGGGGATGCATTATTGGGATTGCATAAAATGGGAATCGGACACCGCATCCCGAAGCGAGTTTTACTATGTTAGAGAGACGTGGAACCACCACATGATCTTTTTTGTTATAGAAGAATATGATAATCTTACAACATTTCTTGTTTTTTTTGATGTGATCTGCTGTTCTGCACGTATTTCTCTGGGTGTACAAACAACTGCATTTTCTTACGTATTAATAATGTCAGACAAGACCACAGTCGACTCATCCAAAGGGGCCTCAAAAAGGAACATTTCGGAAATGCCGTCGGACAATGAGCCACGTGAATGAGCTCGGCCGAAACCGTAGTACACACGTACCACCAACAGCTGTGGAATCATTATCGCGTTACATCCGAGAAAGTTTTGCTTTCCCATGTTATTGCCGTAGCAATCTCATGATCTTCCACTTTGCAGTATACAGACATGCGCTCGAACTTGATTGGCTGAGACTGTGGGACAGGCGGGATCCTGCATACGGGATGGAGCGGAGCCTGTTCATTGGCGGATTTGGGGTTGCTTGAAGAGCGTGCAGCTTGATTGAGATTTGGTGGGAAAGTTGGGATGGAGACAGAGATGGCCATCTGTCTTGGTTCCCGAGTCCGTGAGCCTTGGTCAATGTCGGTTTTTTATTGATAAATGATAGATTTCGAGATTGGCTAGTGAGAAATGTTTGCACACATATTTCGCTTCTGATATAATGCTTGAACCTGCACCACCAAGATCCTTGGTGAGGACAAGACAAGCGAAGAAAAATAGATTGCTTGATCCGTGGCTCAACAAATGACTTTGCTATTGGGAGAATATCTGTACAGACACAAATTGTATCCCTATGCTTTGCAAGGAAGACAATTTCCCTTCTTTTTGGCTGACAGCTGGCCATTGCATCCTAGTAGATCACTCGAATCGCAACAAAGACGTGCCATACATGGCTTGGATCCTGACATACCTACAAGCGCCTGGTCACCCAATTGCACCTCGTCTCTAAAGAGCAAACAACGCCGCTACAGGTTTCAGCGCGAAGAGCGAGGATATTGTTCCAGAAACCAGTGTAGTACTGCCGACCATATAAGCTTCAGCATCAGAAGCGGTGTCGAAAGGACAATGCGCGCGACAAGTTTAGGTGGACAAAGACGTCCAAGAAACGTGATTTGGGGCTTATGCGGTTTGCAGCCATGGCTTATGGACTTTGCCGCCCTGATTGTGATGTATGATATTTGCGTTGAGTGCAAGCTTGAAGTTGAGTGTACTGTAAGCATGGTCACTGCTTGGAGGCTTGATATTGTTCAGCAGTTTGGTGGCGTTGCCAAGCCAAGACCGTTGTGCTGGGAATTAAACTTCAGTTGAGAGGAACAAGAGTTTCTCGATAAGTCTGTTGATAATCATTCTTCAAATAGATGTTGTAGGATTAACAGTATCTTGCCCCAGGATTGCTTTCAATTGAGTAAGATCTCCAACTGAAATGTCATCAGGAACATCGAATTGAACCCCAATGTTCTGGAAAGAAATTAAGATAGATCCCGCCGCCGATCGCACAAGCATAGCGTGCATTGGCCCCTCCTGTCACGTCAAATTCAGGGCGTTAGCCATATGAACAATACTAAGACCAAGACCTAGTTCCGAGCCATGTTTGCTCTCTAAAGGACAAGAACTTCAGCCTTGTAGAACAGAATTCGAAGATCAACATCAACTAATCAACAATTAGGTTCTAGTCAACGGAACTGTATGAGTGGAACAATGCCAAACCTGGGATATCATGATGTTCCGGAAATATGGACAATACTAAGGCTAGTAAGAAGAGCAAGGAAGCCTCGGCGCAGGGGCTTCACTTTTCATGGCGAGATACGATAATTGAGGTTGTAGAGAGGGTCTATAGTCTTCTTTAAGTCAAGTAAGATGAATGGATATAAGTACGAAGGTCGTTTGCTGTTGAAGAAGAAACCAGATATCCAGTCTCATTCGCTTCAACTTCTTCACTACCCATCTTCTCCTGTATTCATTCCCTTCGATATATATATCTCATCATGGAAGCTCAGGAATTCCGTGAGGCTGCCAAGGCGGCAATTGACGAGAGTAAGTCCTTGTATCATAATCATAATACCATCATGACTCCTCTTGAGTCACAATGAATCCCAATTGAACGTCCCCTTCTTGACCTTGCCCGAACAAAGCCTTCCTATTAGTACTGCCACCTTGAATTGACGAACTCGTGCTGAAGCTTCCAGTGACCGACTACACCGAAAATGTCGCCGATTACCGCGTTGTCTCGAATGTTAAACCCGGGTACCTACGCCCTCTGCTACCCTCCTCTCCGCCAACAGACCCAGAACCGTGGTCCGCCATCCACCAAGACATCGAGTCCAAGATCCTCCCAGGCATTACTCACTGGAGTAGTCCTCGCTTCATGGCATTCTTCCCATGTGCGAGCAGCTATCCAGCCGCTCTGGCAGAGATATATTCCAATGCCTTCAACGGGGCACACTTCAACTGGATCTGCAGTCCTGCTGTTACGGAGCTCGAGACTATAGTTATGGACTGGCTGGCCCAGGCATTGGGCTTGCCTGAGTGCTTCCTCAGTGGGGGGTCTACACATGGTGGCGGTGTGATTCATGGGAGTATCAGTGAGAGTCTTATTGTCAACATGGCTGCTGCGAGAGATAGGTATCTCGCTTCTGTGACAGCCCATCTCCCTCCTGGCAGTGAAGAGAAGGAGGAAGCACTTTGGAATCTTCGAAGCAGACTGGTGGCCCTTGGAAGCTCAGGCACACACTCGAGCACTAAAAAGGTCGCTCAAGTTCTTGGTGTTCGCTTTGCTACCATCCCAGTATCCGAGGCTGATGGCTTCTCTCTCCGAGGCGAGGCCCTCGCTGCTACTATTGAGAATCTTCGAGCCCGTGGTCTTGAACCATTCTTCCTCACTGCCACTCTTGGCACCACCGATGTCTGCGCTGTGGATGATTTCGAGGGTATTGCCCAAGCTCTCAAGCCAACCTTCGACACGTCACGGGACATCTGGGTTCACATCGACGCCGCGTATGCTGGTGCAGCACTTGTTCTAGAAGAATATCAACACTTGGCCAAAGCCTTTTCGTCATTCCATTCCATTAGCTTCAGCCCTCACAAGTGGTTTCTTACCACATTCGACTGTACAGCCGTCTGGGTCCGTCATCGATCTTGGCTTGTCCAGGCTCTGAGCATCAAGCCTCCTTATCTGCGAAATCAATTCAGCGACGACGAGTTAGTCACTGAATATCGCGACTGGCAGATTCCTCTAGGGCGGCGGTTTCGTTCCTTGAAACTCTGGTTCGTCATGCGAAGTTATGGTATCAGTGGCCTTCAGAAGCATATCCGCAATGGTGTCGACCTGGCGGAGAGTCTCGAAGACAAGATAGACTCTCGTCGGGACATCTTCTCTGTTTTCACGCCAGCTCGGTTCGGTCTAATTACAATCCGTATCAATGGCGAGTCAGAGCAACAGATTAACGACCGCACTGAGGCAGTGTATGAGGTCATCAACGCTGCGGGAGAGTTCTACCTCACTGCCACCGTTGTAAATGACAAGTTTGCTATTCGTGTATGCACGAGTGTAACAAAGGTGGAGGAACAACACGTCCAGAGAATGTTTGACGTCTTGGTGCAGACGGCCGAGACTGAGATTGCTAAAGGGCATAAGTGGTTAGAATGTAATTTATAACTGAATGTTTTTAAATAATTAAGAACGAGAAATACCATCAAGTTATGTGTCGGTGCTGGATATGCAACGACAGTCAAGAAATTCTTCCAAATTTAAGAATATTCTGATAACAATCAAGATAAGTTTGTTGAAGCCCTCGATACTAGACCAAAGACCCTCAGAACGAGACCCCTAGTGGTTCATATCATGATTTAGCCATAACACCAGAGTGACACCCCAGGAAAGAGAAACGACTTTTGTTATGACTCTTGAGCTTGAGGTAGCCGTTTTAAGAATGTTACAATGACATCTAAATGCAACCTTTATGCCTCCCATGCTCATCTCCTCGGATCCCCCAATTCATAATCGTGTACTCATTATCATAACTATTCGCCCTCCTTCACCGACTATAGCCCCGTTCACCTCGATAATCATAGTCATCATAGTCGTCGTCTGGATACCGACTACTCGATCGATACCTCCGCCTTCCCCTCTCACTATCGCGACTTCGACTTCCTCTTCGATCATCGCAGTGCTCGTGTTTCTTCTTGTAGTTATCAAAGTCGTGGCTGAGCCATGTAAAGGCGCCAAGGAGGGCGAGAACGATACCCGGTGTCCAATCGAAGCCGGATTCGCTCTGTTTAACAGGAGGGCCGCGGCGGGGTGGAGGTTGGCGACGGGATTGGCGATGGCTCCGGGGAGGCTCTGAGTATGTGTCTCTTCTTCCCATGGTTGTGGTAATTAAATGCGGTGTGGTACTTGAGTGTTCTATGGTACTGTGGTGGTTTGCTTGATGATAAAATCAAGGATGAGGTAGAACTTGAGCCCTATTCAAATGGTCGACGTAAGATGCTCCAGGAGTAAGTTCCAGACATATGTCGTATGTGTCTCTCCCGAGTGCCTATCAAGGGAGTTGCTGTGGTGTGCCGTATTGCGTTTGTATAATATCAGTATGCTATCCACGCAAACTTCAGATATACGAAAAAGCGCAGATTGCACGGTTATAAAGTTCAAGCCCCTATGGAATTAAAGACCCTTACCCAACCGTTAGAGACCTCCTCCGCCACTACTGCCGGCTTGCATCTCCGGGGCCACTTAAGCATTAAGGATTGAATGTCATTGCTTAATTCTCAAGTCAAGCTTATTAACTTGGACAAGGATCATAGTTGGGGGTGACGTGCCTTTTGGGGTTGGCATCTTGACGTGCCAGGGCCCAATTGAAGGACCTGACCCGAAATGATGTCACTAATATCGTCATTTCTCCTCACTCTCAACGCTCACAAAGCAATTTTTCATCGGGAGAATGCATCTTCACGTAATGCTGCAGTACCAAGGCCCCATCAGATGATTCTATTTTAGCATTAATAATTGTCTAGATCGAGCTCCGTAGTCTAAGAATAGACGCCTCTACTCTAACAGAATGCTAAATATTGTAAACGCTCATCAAGTCCAAGTGAACATGATACGTTAGATGCTCGCTCGTCTTGGTGCCATTGTACGTCTCAAGGCCTTCTTGGCCTCCGTCTCTTCTACTAAAGGCAAGACTCCTTGCTCTTTCATCTTGTTAAAAAACTCCTGCCCATACTTGTATCCCAGTTGGTACAATTCATCGAATTTGTGGAAGTCAAGAGTTCCATAGTCATCGATTGGTGGACGCATGTAAATGCATCCAGCCATCGTTTTTGCACGTTCCAAAGCATCAACACTCGACACGTATGCCAGTCGTCCTTGAATCTCCGCAAGAGTTGGCGGGTTCGGGTGTGACGAAAATGGATTCCATCGGTTCACAAAAGCCCATGCACCAGAAAGTGAATCACCATACGTTTGCGGCGTGTCATCGTCCAAAGCACCTACATCAATGGCAAAAATTATGTCAACTCCGAGACCCTTCATGTGCGACACGGTCAAATTGTCAATGTAGCCGCCATCCAGTAGCATACTGCCCTCATCGCACAGAGGTGGGAGTAACCCCGCAAGGGACATGGACGCTCTGATGTATCTCCACGCGTACCCACTGGTGTGGAATTCCGCTCGACTCTTACTGATATTGGTTGTGTTGCAGTAGTATTCGAGCCAGAAATCTTCCATCTGCGTATCGCCTAAAGCCTTGAAGATACCACGGTTGAACTCGTGTCCTGTGGTGTAAGATGCAGAGGGATACGTCAGATCAAGAGCAAACCGCCATAGACTGGCCATTCGCCCAGCAAATTTCTTGGCAAATCCAAACATAGGCACAACATCAGCATGCCTGGCGTACAGAGCGCCAACAAAAGCACCGATCGAAGTTCCTCCAACGAGATCAATAGGAATTCCGGCTTCTTCCATGGCTCGGATGATGCCAATTTGAGTGATGCCTCGAGCACCGCCTCCGCCAAGAACAAGTCCAATGGATTTGCCACATAGTCGTCGTGCCAGGCGATGAAAATCGCCCTTATAAGGAGAATCGGGTGAGTAGTATGGCGTGTGGTGCACCTTGCGAGACGTGTATTTTTGGATTTCGGCCTGTAAGACCTGAACACGTTCTTTGAGTGCTTGGCCAAGTTTCTTGGGGGCATGGACTGGCATCTCGTTTGTTCTGAAAGCCATTTGAATATGGCAGTGGCCACCATTGATCCACATACGGTTTTGCAGCCAAGCTCGAGTCAGCCCAGGCCGTGAATAACGCTCAGCATGAAGTAAAACCAAAACTTTTCTGGCGGTAGATTTCATGCCAAGCATAAAGCGTTCGTATTCGCCAATAGCTGGTGATCCTTCGGCAAGACCAACCAAAAGGATGCTGTCAGCTTGCGTGATACAAGTCTGTGTCCACGGCGAGTTGACGTTCGTATCTAGAGCCAATATGTTAGCTCGAGGCTCCCGTCTGAAAGTCCAGAAAGCATGTTGTAACGGGAATAAGTCAGGAAAAAATTAGAGTTAATAGAACCAACATCGGCTTTGCCTCTGGAGTCTATGTGTGATATTATCATCATAAAAGGAATGGCTAAAGAAAGAACGCAAGTTATTGCTTACCTGCAACATAGACAACCAGGCCGTACTTCTCTTCCAGATCGGCAAGATATTGAGAAAGCCTGAGCTTTCCCATCTTGTTGAAAGCATGCTTGCCAAGATGGTTAAGAATGGCAGCCTGGTTGAGGGATGTGGCCCCATTAGCTGGGCCGACTTGCGCCAGGGCATTCATGAGGCGGTTTCCAAACTCGACAACAGGTACACCTGCGGTAACAGGCAAAATCGCTACAGTTCGTAGATTCATATTGGACTTGCGCATCAAAGTTTTTGGGTTGGTGCTGGCATCCTTGTACGAGAACTTGGAGGTCTCATCAACGATTGCCCTCATCCGTGATGCAATGATCTTTGAAATCTTGATGGTGATATTCGGGTGCTCCTGTGCCAAGCTGTTGAAGAGTGTTCGGGGGAATTTCACCAACTCCGTATCTCGAATAGCGTGCAGAGTCCCTGGACGAGCAGTTTCTGTAAGCACCTCCAGCTCACCGACACTGTCACCTTGTCCGAATTCGGCCAGAGCCGTTACGCCACCACTGCCGCCCTTTCGTTCCTGAACCAAACGAAGGCGACCGTTGAGGACGATATAAATCGCCTCACTCTCATCACCTTCGTGAAATAGCACCTGCCCTGCGTTGACTTGAACCCATTCCAGAGCAAAGTCAATATGTAAAATCAGGCGGGGCAAGATGTTGGTCAGCCTCTTGGCCATAGTGAGAAGAACGATCGGATAGCGGTCAACGATCCGCTCCAGCGAAGCGCGAGGCAAGAAGCCTACATAGACATCCGTCTTTGCAACAACATCGATGAAAGACCGGTATGAAGACACACTTCCGATGTAACCAGCAAGTCCACCAGGTTTGACCAAGGCAATGCTGCGACGAGACTTCTTCGATGTTGATTGCTGCGTCTCAGCCTGATCTCTTGCAGCTTCGGTGCGAGCCAGATTGGGGAAAGAACCCATTTCAGAAGGATCTGGGGATGAAGGAGCTGGCTGAGATGAACCAAATCCATTAGATTGTAAGATGTTGTGAGCATCTGCCTCACCAGTCGTACCAATGTCCAAGAATCCATCGACGACATAGTACAAACCAGGGTTTCGTTCTCCTTGCTCTACAAGAACAGAGCCTTTGGGGAAGAAGACGATCTCAACCTCATCCTTCATGTCGCTCGCAAGGCCCTGAGCGCTCACAGGAGCATGCAAAGCGGTTCCTCCAGAAGTCACCGACTCAGTCTCGCCGTCAACAGAGCCATCGTAAGGAGGCATGAAACCGAATGCGTTGTTTTGGCTGTAAAACTTTGATCGTCGATGGTCGAACGACACCAATCTGGGAGAGCCTTCCATGGACTCGGGCTCGCGGGACGCACTCCCATTGGCATCAAGCCCAAGTGATTTAAACATACACTCCAAAATAGAAGCACGGAAGAGATTGTCTTCATCCACAGTTTCTCGTGGATCCATCGTCATGCGACCAAGCCTCCTTGAATCAAAGGGATCATTGAAAAATCTATCATCCTTTGGATTCGCGCCCTGGTGTCTCATCGAGGCCCCGGACACGGATCGTTGATCCGCCGGTGAGATACGCGAAGTCCCTCGAGCTAACTGAATATTAGACAGTAGATCTCCAGGGCTCGGAGTATGGGGAGAAGTTCTTTCGCGAGGTGGTGCAATGGTGCTTGTGACAACCGAAGTCGTCCGCAGTTTGGTCATTGATTGCAGCATAGCCTCTTTCCGAAGAGTTGTACTTGACCTTCGCCGATGAGTTGAGGCCGAGTTGTGCAGTGCAATACCCTTCGTGTCATCATCTTCGTCTGTACGTTCCCTCTCACGCTTGAACTTCTCCTTGAGGCGTTCTAGAGCATCACCCCGCAGAATATTGGGGAGCTGGCAAACCGTATACTTGATCATACTTTTCTCTGTCTGCAGTACTTCGCTAGTCAAGCCGAGATAGTTGAATGCTTGCGCAAGCGTGACTCTTTGGAATCTTGAGAGAATAACATGGACAATGTGTGCGGTTGCCTTTGGGTAGATCTTGATGAGCCTTCTAAATGCACTTGCTGGGATAATGGCAATTGTTGTATCAACCGTAGCACGAGCGATGATGTCTGGGTGAGCCGAGCCAGATGTTGCCCTTGTTGGCAAGGGCGGCCTAGTAGGTGGAGGTGTATCGCCATCCAGTGACATGGCAGGAATCGCAGCCTGATCAGTTTCCAAGCCAGAAACACCAAGACCTTCGGGTTTATTCTCATCCGCCTCCATATCATTCCGGGACTGAGGTGTGCCCGGCATGGACATGTTGACATCCGAAGGAACACGTCGAAGATGAGGCTTCTCGAAGGTCGGGTGTCTAAGGCCGCTGCTTTTGGCAGGATGCAAAGAAGAGTCCTCCTGATCATCGTTAGGCCGTAGCCTAACATCCTCTGTAAACAAAGACATGATGGAGAACAAGGATGACATAGGTGCACCATTCCGAACTTCTGTCAGAAGCTGGTATGTCTGTTGACCAGGAGCGATATCGTCCTCATCTGACGAGTCCAGGTCAAGACGTCCCCGAGAGGCTGCTGCTGCGCGCGGGCTCCGGTTTGATTTAACAAAGATCTCTACCAAACCATCGACGACGATACAGAAGCCTTTTTCTTCTTCGAGGTTGATGGTCTCGCCAGCAATGAGCTTCCTCGTTTGCATGCTTCGAGTCAACTCATGGAAGACGGGCCGTTCCAGGTAACCGAAGATCTTGATAGCACTCAAGAACTCATCTAGGTAGTTTGCCAACCCAGACTTAGTACCACCTTCGTGAGTGTCTGGAAAGAGATCGATGTCTGGCTCTTTGCGCTGTGGCTCTGGTGGCAGACGGGAGTACATGTTCAGAATGCGATACCTGACAACCCAACTGACGGCCGACACGACCGCTGCCATGATAAACATCCTATAGGAATGTTAGCGTTACGAAGCGAAAGAGATTATTGGCCAACATACAGTGTAGTAGCGTTCATGGTGACAGTCCAGCTTGTAGAGAACAAGTGGAATAGAAAGGAAGGGACATTGATAGTCGCAATTCGAATGACCCAATATAGAATTGTGGAAGTGATGTGAAGAAGAAACCATATCAGCCACCCAAAGAGGCCAAACCATGTGTAAGGCTCATGGGCGGTGACAGCAGGCATGGTGCTCACGATAGAGGGAGAGGAGCTGCTGAGGGCATAGGCGACAGTCTCAGCGACGTCGCCGGCCATTTGGGCGGCATTTGATGGATCAGATGCCATGGCTGGTTATGAGGCTGCTGCGCATCATACCGTAGCATCCTGTAGAAAAAAGAGCCGCGTGGAAGCGGAGGGAGAGTTTTGGAGCAAGGGAGAAAATTGGAGGTAGAGGTTTTATGAACATGGGAAAGGAAAAAAGAGCGTGGCTGCTTCTGCGCGTGCAAGCTTTTAGCTTGTGATCGGGTGCGGAGCTACAGGGGAGCTCAGGTGCCGAGGATTGGCCGATCAAGGATCCACCCCACTGAGAGACGGTGGGTGAGCCGCTGAATTTGTTCCGCGTGGGCAGGTAGTGGAGGGGCTACCCGTTGGTGCCGTCACCTTGTGCATCTGCTTGGATAAGCCATCACTAAGTTATTTATTCTTCTTCTCGATATAGCGATCGCGATCCGCAGGTCGATTTATTTGGTGCAGGAAACAGACGGTAAAAGCCTGTTTTGTCTCGTGCCAAGCTGCCACATCCCACAGCTACATCTCACATGATCATGCACTCTTGAGCTCGGCACCCTACGATAGCCTCTCAGATGCCCTTTGCGCAACTCGTCGTCGGCAGCCCAGGCTCTGGAAAGAGTACCTACTGCGATGGCAGTAAGTTTCGCAAAATACTGAATCTCCCTGTATCTGTATACTGACCAATATAGTGCACCAGTTCCTGGGCGCCATCGGGCGAGCCTGTTCAGTCGTAAATCTCGATCCTGCCAATGACCATACAAACTACCCTGCGGCACTCGATATTCGCAACCTAGTTAAACTCGAAGAAATTATGAAAGATGACAAGCTGGGACCTAATGGCGGCATTTTATATGCCCTTGAAGAATTGGAACATAACTTTGAGTGGTTGGAAGAGGGACTGAAAGAATTCAGTGAAGACTACGTTCTTTTCGACTGCCCGGGACAGGTGGAACTATACACACACCACAACTCCCTACGGAATATCTTCTACAAACTCCAGAAGATTGGATATAGGGTTGGTAACTTCCCTCTATGGAAACGTAGTGACTGACCGTTCATAGCTTGTCTGCGTCCACCTTTCGGATTCTTTCTGCCTAACGCAACCCTCGCTATACGTATCGAACGTCCTCCTTTCCCTCCGAGCCATGATCCAGATGGACATGCCGCATATAAACATCCTCTCAAAGATCGACAAAGTCTCCGAGTATGACGAGCTCCCGTTCAACCTCGACTATTACACAGACGTAGACGACTTGACATATTTAACGCCCCATCTCGAATCAGAATCGCCCGCTTTGAGGAGCGAAAAGTTTGGCAAGCTCAACGAGGCTATCGCAAATCTGATCGAGAGCTACGGCCTGGTGCGTTACGAGGTCCTGGCCGTCGAAAATAAGAAAAGCATGATGCACATTCTTCGTGTCATTGATCGTGCCGGTGGATACGTCTTTGGCGGTGCTGAAGGTGCCAATGACACGGTGTGGGCGGTCGCCATGAGGAGTGAGTCGTCTATGCTAGAGGTGCAGGATATCCAGGAGCGCTGGATTGATCAAAAGGTTGAATATGACCAAATGGAGCGTGAGGCGGAGGAGGAGCAGGCTCGCATCCAAGAAGAACAAGCCATGGAGTTGGATCAAAGTGAACCATTTGCTCCAGCAGGCGGAATGGACCCCGACTTTGGAGATATGACAGTTCCAAAGGACAGTGGGATCAAGGTAGTTAGAAAGAAATGATACCCGTTCATCAATCCGCATCATCCATTTCTTCATCACTCGACGCGTCGTTGACGTCCAGAACCATTTCGTCCTGATGACGCAGTGAAATGCCCAGAGAAGACTGGGAGTCCGTATCTTCCTTTGCAGCAAGGATGAGTCTCTTGGCCTGACGAATAGCTTCTTCCTCAGCTTTGCGAATTGTCCCACTGACGCGTACGACGCGAAAGATACACGGCCTTCCGTCTTTGACAGGAACGTGATCCATAAAGGTCAATGTTGACCAGAGCATTTGATAGTGAGCCCTTGAACATCGTAGGATGAAAGTTGAGGTTGCTAGGGACAAGTATTTTACTAGACATGTCAGGAATGCGAAGCGGTTCAATTTTACCATCCAATACTCACCTGAGCAGCTCATTAAAGCTCCAGATCCACAGTCGCCATAAAGTGACGCGACTTCAGCTCTGATACCCCTGATAAGTGCACCAGGAGTGAGCTTTTCGATGGTTGGTTGGTGATTAAGAACAAAGTCTGGCAAATCTGATTTTGCAGCCTTTGCAGGGTCTGGCAGGTAAACAATGTTGACAAGGAGATACCTTTCCTTTATGCGCACCATTTTGAGGAAGCGGCGGTGAAAGATCGAGTGATGATGTTGTAGATGTTGGCGAATAAAAGAAGTTGAACAAAGGCTTGTGACTGAAGAAGTCGACTTGCATCTCCGTGGAAGTTTAGCGGCTTCGGGGTCTGCCCCACCAAGACCGGGGCGGTCCAGCGGGGCCGTAGACGAGGGAGCTTCCCCGCCGTCATCAGTTGATGAACTCAAATTATTATATATGCTCATTTCTCCCTGCAGGAAGCTGTATCTTTTGATAACTATACACCGGTACTGATATTGTTATTCTATGAGACGGAGTTCTTCGGAAATTGTTACTCATTTCGCGTAAAAACCATGGCTTCCGGTCCCTTGAAGGCGGCGCTTCTTATCGTCTCGACGACAGCAGCCAAAGACGCTTCTGCTGATGCTTCAGGGCCTATACTCACCCAGGTACTGAAAGATGAAGGTGATGGGAAGTGGGAAATTCACGATACAAAGATTGTCTCGGATGATGTGCTCGCTATCCAACGACAGATAACTACCTGGACCGACAGTCCTGATAGTGTCAACCTCGTTGTGACTACTGGCGGAACTGGTTTTGCTACCGGAGACTCTACCCCAGAGGTAAGCATTCTATAGAGGCCTTTTATGAACCATTGAGGACTAATAGTATCTAGGCAGTCACTCCCTTACTTCATAAGCAAGCCCCAGGCCTCGTTCATGGCATGTTAGCAGCGTCTCTCACAGTCACACCCTGTAAGTGATATCGCTTCCAATATCGTATCAGATAGTCCTAACAAGATCGATAGTTGCAATGATGTCACGTCCAGCAGCAGGAGTCCGCAACTCGTCCATCATTGTGACCTTACCTGGCTCACCTAAAGGCGCAAAGGAGAACCTCCAGGCCATCGTTAAGACACTACCCCATGCCTGTATCCAGGCTGCAGGTGGCAATTCCAGAGCAATTCACTCTGGTGGAATAAGAAAACTGGAAGCTGAAGCAGGCCTCACAGGTGGAGAGACTCATTCTACAGCTGCTGGTGGATGCGGTCATCATCACCACGGCCATGGTCATGGTCATGGTCACGGTCACGGGCATGGAAATCTCGTGAGACATACAAAGCCCGGCACTACTCTCTCAAATGATCCTGCGCTTGGCCCTTCTCGTAGATACCGAGAATCGCCCTACCCCATGCTGCCAGTCGAAGAAGCCCTGTCATTGATCGAAGAGCATACCCCTGAACCTGAGGTTAACTCAGCACCAGTTAATCAGTCCATTATCAACTCAGTTTTGGCCGAGGATGTCAAGGCCAGGGAGAATGTTCCGGCCTTCCGCGCCAGTATCGTGGATGGCTACGCAGTTGTGGCCCCTAAGGATGGCCAGCTGAAGGGCGTCTTCCCGGTAACAGCCATCTCTCATGCTTCACCTGGTGAGATCGGGGCTCTGAACGAGGGAGAGCTGGCTAGAATCACCACAGGAGCCCCTCTGCCTCCTGGTGCCACGACTGTTGTTATGGTCGAGGACACTATCCTCAAAACAATGTCAGAGGATGGTAAAGAGGAGAAGGAAGTTGAAATTCAGGTCGATGGGGTGAAGGAGGGCGAGAACATCCGCGAAGTTGGCAGTGATGTCCAACAAGGCACTGTCATTCTCAACAAAGGAGAGACTATCAGCGGAGTGGGCGGTGAGATTGGTCTTCTCGCTTCTGTAGGAGTGTCAGAGGCAAAGGTTTACCGTCGCCCTGTGGTAGCCGTGCTATCCACCGGCGATGAGATCGTCGAGTACAACCGCCCGGGTGATCTGAAACTTGGCGAAGTCCGCGACACCAACCGAATTACTCTCATGTCCGCAGCGAGAGAATGGGGCTATGAAGTTGTCGATCTCGGTATTGCCAGTGACAAGCCAGGCACTTTGGAGGAGACGCTCCGTGACGGGCTCAGACGTGCAGATCTCCTCATCACCACTGGTGGTGTCTCCATGGGCGAGCTCGATCTTCTTAAGCCAACGATTGAGCGTTCTCTTGGCGGCACAATTCATTTCGGGCGTGTTGCTATGAAGCCTGGAAAACCAACCACCTTTGCCACAGTTCCTGTCAAGGATAATTCGGGCCAACGTGTTACCAAGACCATCTTCTCACTTCCTGGCAACCCAGCGTCGGCTCTGGTTACTTTCCATTTGTTTGTGCTCCCTTCGCTGCACAAGCTGTCTGGCGCCTCGACTAAGGGCCTCCCAAGGGTACCTGCTGTCATCTCGCACGATTTCCCCTTAGACCCTAGACCCGAGTATCATCGAGCTGTGGTCACGGTTGGAAAGGATGGGCTTCTCTCAGCTACAAGTACTGGAGGACAACGCAGCTCCAAGGTTGGAAGCTTGAGGTCAGCCAACGCTTTGGTCATTTTGCCCAGTGGAAAAGGAAAACTGGAGAAGGGGTCAAAGGTTGAGGTTTTGCTATTGAGCGCTGTGCAAGCTGCTTAGAAGTCGGTCCAAGTCCCAGTAATGAGCTGCAGCCAAATATACAATGCACACCCCTGCATAAAAAAAAAAACTAATCTTGAGTAACATATAATTCAAATCTCATCGTGATGTACACTTCCACCTCCATATGATACTGGTACTGGTACTGGTACAGGTACAGCCAAAATACGTCCTCCCAAGCCAATCTTCCAAACGCCTGACCAAATATTATTGGCGCAATGCATGCACGCGCTCCGTCTCTTTTGAACACACAAGGTGATGTCGCCGGTAAACCCGTTGGACTTCATGATGTCTAAGGTAATGGATAGGGGACGGACTTATTTCTTCTCGCCGAAGGCAGGGGCCTTGCTAGAGACTAGAAGACCAATGATCAGACCGAACAAGCCAAGCACTGAGCTGAAAATCTCGATGACAAGAATCTTGACGAAGCTAGAGACGTGTAAGTAGTTGGTCTAAGTTATGATGATTTTAGATATATGACGTACAGTGAAGGATCGGCAGCATCGGCCAGAGCAGCACCGCTACCGTTGATTCCAACGGCAACACCGCAGACAAGGTTGCACATGCCGACGGTAATACCAGACCAGAAGAGGGCATATCCAGTGTAGTAGGAGTTGGCGGAATAGAGCTCGGCTCCAGAGACGTTCTCGACTTTTTGCGAGAAGACGATAGCCATGATGACGCCGTAAATGGCGACAACTTCACAGAAGATAATGGAAATCAAGTTCTTGGTTCGGATGCGAGGGGCCTTAACACCACCTCCGAGAATCGACGAGCCGGTAATGAAGATGCCCCTGGAAACAATGCGTCAGAGCTGTGATATAAGGATTGTTGGCCGAGGGTTTACGCACCATGCAGCGCCGACAACAGAGAGACCGATACAAAGCGCGATTCCTAGCGTCGCCCATGTATAAGGCGAAACTGATTCGAGAAAACCGCCGATATCGAAGGACTCGCCACTTCCGGTGAAGAGCATGTCTATACGACAGCATCATAGTCAGTAAAAATCACAATGGAGCCTCCAAGTATCAACGCCTATAGGGAACGGGTTTCGCGTACAAGCTCCAACGATGGTCAAGAACGACCCAATGCCGCCCACTCCATAGTATAGACTCATTGCGACGGTATTCGAATTGTTATCTCGACGATCCAGGGGTTGATGTGTTGGCGATGGTGAGCGTCGGGTCGGATGAAGGTGGCTTATTCTGAGCTTGAAGGAGAGCTCCTGTTTCAAGGTACCTTGAAGCTGCGATGCGTGTCCAGCACGCAGGCAACTGGAATAACTGGGACCGACGTCACATGATGCGAGGCTGACTGGTGGCTTGTGGCGCGCTTAGTCATTCCCGCTTTGTACATCCCTCGAGGCAGATGCATCTCATCAACCTTGCCCTTGACAAACTATCAACCACCCAAACCCGAAAATAGGAATTTAACGAGCGACTCTTCTCGCGCCCGAACTTCAAAACCGAAATCATGGCTACCGGAGCGCAATCTTTCTATGAGCTGTACCGTCGAAGCAGGTACTGCGCCATATTGCTATGCGCTGCTATGCGACAGCCTGACTAACATGGTTCACTGCAGCATTGGTCTCGCTTTGACAGATACCCTCGATGATCTCATCAGCGACGAGCGCATCAACCCTCAGCTTGCCATGAAGATCCTGAGCAATTTCGATCAGGCCATCACTGAGGCTCTTCAGAAGAACGTTAAAGCTAGACTTCAATTCAAGGTGGGCGAATACCTCCGAGCTCGGCGCACGTATTTCGACCACAACTAACCACCTCTCCTACAGGGAAGCCTTGACACCTACCGATTCTGCGACGAAGTCTGGACCTTTTTGATCAAGAACGTAACCTTTAAAATGGACAATGGGAGTCAATCCGTCACGGCGAACAAGGTCAAGATTGTCAGCTGCAACGCCAAGAAGCCTGGCGAAGGACAATAAGTCAACGACTCACGAATGCGCACGATCGAATACGAAGAAAGGGATCTGCAACTTTCATAAATTGGGAAACTACTGAAATTCTGCTTTTCCAGCATTGGGCGGCGTTTGGAACCTGGCTCTTTACAGTTACAGGACATTGATTTATCGTGGGCAAGAAGTTAAGCACTAGATTCAGTGCTAGGGAGCTAGACTTGATCTTATGCACAATCAACAGAAGTTTAGTCAAGAATGATATTATATTGCTTTATTTGGACTCTACGTTATTGAAAAGCGAAACAACAGTAACATGACGCATATGAATTCACTTCCCCGGATTCTGGTGGTGAGGCTGGTTTCTTAAAACGTCTCTGACCAGGGGCGACTCTGCCTAAGACAGGCGGTCCCCCACTAAAGGACCACTTCTCGGCCTCTAACAAGGGCGCCAAGTCAATCCATCATCATCATCAGGGGCCCTTCATTCTCACCAACCTAAGAACTCCGAAGACTCCGACGACCATGCTCCGTAAACGTCAGAAGCCAGACGCTGGACTTTCTTCTTCACCTTTAAAGAAACAACCATCCTCCGAGATGCCGTCACCGAGTAATTGGAGCCTGCGGTCGCAATGGATGTTCTTTGCGGTTGCCAGTGGTGCTTGCGCTGCTTTCAATGGAGTTTTTGCAAAGTTGTAAGTGCAAGGACATTTTTCTCTTACAGTGACGATTATGCAGAGTCTATTCCAAGTATATGATACAAATTGCGCTACGGAGGCTTCGGGTTGGCAAGAGGTAGCTTGAAAGATAAAAGGTATACTAATTAACTCAGGACAACTACACAACTCACCACCAACCTATCCGACAGCATTGCGAAACTGATCGGCTTGTCCGCTCATGAGCATATAGTCGAATATCTCGTTCGCGGCGTAAGTTGATCTCTTCTGTTCTTACTTGACTCGCAACTAAACCTTCTAGATATTCTTTGTCCTTAATTTAACATTCAATGGCGTTGTAAGTGACTTCCAGTCGAACCTCCGATCACTCACTTATATGCTTCAGATGTGGACGCTGTTTACTCAGGCTCTTGCCCGTGGTACATCCACAACTCAAGTCTCCATCATGAACACATCCACGAACTTCATGGTTACCGCTGTCCTAGGCGCCTTGATCTTCTCAGAAGTTCTTCCTCCTCTGTGGTGGGCTGGTGCTGCGCTTCTTGTCGCAGGCAATGTCATCGTGGGACGGAAGGATGAGACCAAAGATGCTGGTGCCGCGGCCGCTGCTGAAGGGCCGAGTTATGTTCCTTTGCCGACTGAAGATGATGGAGCACAGCGGGATGACGACGAGGATGTTATTGATTTGGGCAGAGAGTCGGATGAGAGAACACGATAGACAGGCTGGCTAGTCACACAGTCGTGGTGCAGGATGCCAAGAGAGACCTGCTGTTGGATCTTTGATAGAATTGAGACATTTAGCATAAGTTGAAAAAAAAATAAAAAATAGATTCAATCCCGAACACCAGCGTATCATGCACGTTTCTATAGTAACAGATAATAAAAGGTAACAATCAACATGTTCATACAATTACCGCCGACTCTCCAGCTCAACACCTTCATCGAGCACCTCCTCGTCGCCGTTCAATATTTGCCCTCTCCCCAGTGGCCGCTCACCACCAGAAGTGCTTGTCAAGCGAATCCGGCCTCCTGAGTATCTTGAGACTCGGCCAGAGAACCAGTTACCGGCTCTTTGGAAAAGGGCCCAAAGTTGCTCTTGCCCCTCTTCGATACGATGATCATCCTTGGGGTTCTCGGCGGCTTCGACCTTGAATTGGTATTTCAGGCAGTCTTTGACGGTTACGAGACCAGTGAGCTTGCCATGATATTCAATCAATATAACTCGAGGTCCGATCTTTTGAAACAACTCCATGACAGTCTCGAGGGGTAGTCTCGGGTGAGCTGTGACGGGTGTTGCATCAACATATCGGCTAAAGTCGAGAGTTGAAGAGTGTGATGAGTCGCCATGGATGTTGTTAAGCGATGTACTTGACAGATTCGCCGACGACGGTGCAAATGTGCATTTTGCAGTCTCTGATAATGGTGAGGTTCGACTCATCTTATCAATGGCATATCGCAACTCCGTACTGCCAATATAACCAACAAGCACCTTGGTGTGTTTGTCTTCCACCACAGGGAAGCCTTGATACCGATCATCAGCAAGGAGGCTCTGGACTTCGCCCAAGGTAAGTCCATGAGCGGGCATCGAGACAACGGAAGTTCTCATGACAGCCGACACAGGAACCCCGAAATTGTGCTCCTCTTTACTGTCAAGGAACGGCATTCCGCTAAACCATATCATTCTATCTGCAATGCCTCCCTTGCCAAATAATTCGCTGACAGCTTTGGTGACTCCAACGACGATCATGGTGGGCAGAATGTAGTTCAGAGCACCTGTGAGCTCAAACATGATGACCACCACGGATATGGTGATGTGCATGATGCCACTGAGTGCCGCAGCGGCCCCTAGCAGGGCATATGTCCCTGGTGTGATGCAAGGCTCGTCAGGCTTGCATGCGGAAAAGAAGACGCTGGTGGGATTGGCTTCGTGAATAGCTTGAACAAGAATTCCGATTGTTCTTCCGAACGATGCTCCAATCGCCATTGAAGGAACGAAGATACCAGCGGGAACCTTGCATCCATAGGATAGTATAACGAGGAAAAGCCTTAGGAAGGTCGCCAGGAACAGTGAAATTATGTTCCACCATCTCTTGTCAGGCTCGCAGAGACCGTGGTACGATTCTCCACGTCCGCACTCCGAGAAGAGAATCTCCATACTCTCTGTCATGTCAATCCTCAAGAAGGCGTTGGGGTAGGCAATAATAGCAGTTCCCGCTGCCAGTAAAGTCGCTTCGAGAACTGCATACTCTTTCAAGTACTTCTTTCTGAATGACTGAACCCGCAGATTCCACTTAATCACAAAGGCTCCGTAGAGACCTCCGAAAATACCAATCAAGACGTAGAACAGCAGCTCGAAGAAGTGCCAGTCATTCTTATACTCAACCTGGAACATGACCAGTTGCCCCGTTCGAAAAGGATTCATAGCGGCGAGAACAGCTGTCGCGACAAGGGCACAGAAATAGCTTCGCCACAATGTCTTGAGAGGAAACTGGTTCGACATTTCCTCAAGAGAGAAAAGCACACCGCCGATAGGACTGCCAAAGGCGACAGCGACACCGGCAGCTGCCGAGGCGCTCAGGAACTCCCTAGTCTTAGAAGCGTTGCGTTTGTATTTGTCGAAGAGCCGAGAGATCACATTTCCCGTACACACGGCGTAGTGTACACTTGGGCCTTCCTTTCCAACCGACAAGCCAGAGGCGATAGCCAGAGGGAGACATACTGATTTGATGATCAAAGTCCACCATCCAAGAAAGCCTTTCATAACGAACCCGGCAATGATGCACTTGATCTCAGAAATACCTGAACCGGCAGCATATGGTGCAAAAGACTTGACCAAGGTGCCCGCAACACAAGCAAATAGAGTCTATGTCGTTAGGATGCACAAGTGCGAAGGAAGACTTGGCACTTACTGCAAAGACAAAATAGATAAAATAGTTCAGGGGTTCGAAGCCAGTCCATCTGTGCCACTGATCGCAGCCTGTCTGATTTCAGCATCATTCATGTCACCAAACCCTGGACTCCACATACCATTCTCTTCTCCCCAGCAGCAAAAGTTCTCATTCAAATAGAAGCCTGTCTCGCAGTAGCCCATCTTGACGTCGGAGAGCCATTCTGTAATGATATTGAGTAGCGCTGCATTCAAGCCAATAGCAATACCAATGATTGTTACCACGATCCAGGCTTGCGCTGCATCATAACTCCTCCACAGCTGATATCGCCAGCCGGGTTGTCCTTTATCGTAGAGGCCGGCCGCTTGCTTTCTTCGCGCCTTACGCTTAGCTTGTTCTCGCGCCGCATCTTGCACCCAGTCTACCGTATATCAGTGTCGAAGTCCGTATTGTAGTCGATCGAGTCGCATACCTATTGTTGTAAAGTCCTGGTCCAGCTAGTTAGCATAGAGCCGGATATCCAGTGTCCTACAACATACTTCATATCTCTTAATCTCGGCAATCTCCTCCTCGATAAGTCCAGCCCCTGTCCGTGCTGCACTCCCTGCTTCTTGATCTGCATTCGAAAAGACGGAGGATAAACGCGATACCACCGAAGGACGTCTTTCAAGTCCAGGTCCAGGAGGTGCCAAGCTGAAGGATGATTGTCGCACGTTCATGGTTCAGGCAAGGCGACCATTGTCGCTCAACCGCTATCTTTGAAGTCGCGCAAGTCGGGATGATTGGATTGACTGATTAAAAATGCCAACGAGGCCAAAATGAGAGCTGTTTCTTTGGTAAAGGCTATTTCGTAAACGTTGTTATATGGCGAGTGTCGTGATGACCAACAGGGATGCTGACAGCTGATATGTGGCTTTGGGTTCAGCCACAGTATCGCGTTTAGTGGTTGCAGCATCGCGTCTCAGACTTCAGTTAATGCCATTCTTCGTGTATCTTGACTTCACAAGAACAGTAATTCACATCCAACTCGACTTATCAGCCATTGATAGCGATATAAAACCTTTAATATTCTCTTAAATAAGCATATCCCTCATATTCCCTTCATCCTCGACTCCCAACTCTCAAACGTATCGCAGCCCCTGATACAATTCTTGGAGAATTCGCTTGTAGTCAAGGTACGGCTCACATTTCCTGTTCAAGATGGTCGTGCAATTCAAGTGCCATTTTCAACTTTGGATTCACTGCGTACTACATTTTGGTGTTTATTTACTTTCGTTTTCTCCCTTGTATTCTGCCTTGTATTCTCTGGCTACTCCTACGACTTTCTTACCCTTGTACTCAACTTTGACCTTCGTCCCTCGCGGATACAAAGCCATCCGCCTCACGCATTGATACATCCTTTTAGCTCCTTCTAACTCACACAGACTCACTCAACCCTTTCACATTTTCCAGCGACTTCGTCTCTACTACCGCCATGCCTTATAACACCACTGCTATTCCTCCTCGAAAGGAGCCTACAGGCCAGAATCAGCTCCCTCGTAAGCTATTGACCATGCTCTTCAGTCCCAATCTAACATGGTGATAGTCTCTAGAGTTAAAAAGATCATCGCACAAGACCCAGATATCGGTCTGTGCTCTAACAATGCAGCTTTCGTGATTACTCTCGCTGCCGTATGTATTCGCTATCCATTCTCACCATCGTCATACTCATGCGACACAGGAAATGTTTGTTCAGCATCTTGCAGAAGAGTCACATACCCAAGCCAAGCTAGACCGCAAACCTCGTCGAAACATCCAATACAAGGATGTCGGTGAGTTAGCTCCCTCATCCTTGACTCAACAGCCCTTTCTAACTTCAATAGCAAGCGCTGTTGCACACCATGACAACCTCGAGTTTCTTGAAGACGTGGTACCAAAGACTGTTCCCTACAAGAACATCAAGGCCAAGGCCAAGGCCACGCAGGCACGTCTCCAAGGTGACAATACCAATCAGAAGCTTGAATTTCCCCTGGCAAACGGCGCTGGCAAGCCTCTTGTGAACGGCAACTCCATGGCTCATCATGATAGACAGGATGACCCGAACTCGCAGCTGGAGTTGGAGTTCAGACAGGCTTCTGGTGCGAATCGAGATGGAGATGTAGCAATGACTGGCTAGTTGTAGTATTGCTCACTTGCTAGGCGGCTTATGGTAAAAAGAGGCGTTTTCAGGGTTGACCGTTAGTCCGCTGAATTAGGAAACGAGGGCAAAAGTGGTCTATCATCATGTACATCACAAAACAAATTACAATCTTGATATTTAGCATCAACTTCCATTTCTTAGTATGGGGTGATAGCCATAATGCGAGAGCGAAATAAACATAGTATTTTTTCTGCAACCCCCAAAACAAGTGGTACATAGCCATCATAGATGTAAAGATTTATTCCTCCATGGCATCTCCGTGAATACCAGAAGGCAGACGCCCCTCGTTCAGCTCCTTCTCCAGCGCGATAATCTCCTGTAGGCTGGTAGCCTTCTTGATACGCTCCTGTAGTCGCTTCTTCTCGGCGTCCGTCAGCTTTATTCGGGAAAGCTTGGAGGGCGCGTCCGAGCCGTCAGTCGAGGTGTTGAAGGTTGTGGTCTTGATACCCTGGATCTGTGTCGTTGTTAGCGTCGTGCAACTGTTTTATTATTGGCGCTGTTCGTACCTTTGAAGCCAGAGCAGTTGGCTCTTCTTCAGTTCCGAAGAGCTCGCGAGCCTTCTCCCGCTCGGACTCCTTGACCTTTTCGAAGTCAAGAAACCGCACGGAAGGACACTTCCATAGCACCCAGTATCGATAGTTCTGCATCTTGCATCAGTAATTGCTGCACCAGTCGACACGTCTCAAACTGACCTCCTTCTTGGAAACGGGGTTATCCGACAGTACCAAGTGCGTCAAGCGGGGAAATGATGCCAGCGCATCCAAATCCGCAAGCTCTGTCAGGTTGTTCGACGATAACACCAGGTTGGCAAGGTTTGGAATGGCCTTAGCCAGAGAGGGCTGAATGCTTGAGACGCGGTTTCGTGCGAGGAGAAGGGTCGTTATGCGAGGCGACAAGGGAAAGTTTCCCAGTACTTGAATGTCATTATCTGTGAAGTCGATGGCATCGTGAGGCTAAGCTGTTAGCAACAGAGCAACAAGGCAGAGAATTTGGAACTTACGCCAGCGACACCCAAGTTCTCAATCGCGGGAATTCGGTGGCCTGTTCACGCCGCAAAGACGATTGTATCAACTCTGCGCTCTCTAGAGATCAAAAATGTAGCATCTGCTCTTTTCAAAACGCACCTCGAAGATCAAGCTCTCGCTCCTTGAGCGGGTTGAGGTAGGATAGGGAATCCCGGATGAGGTCGGCGGTGAGCCGCATCTTGGATTTGGGGCCGTTACCTCGGGTTCAGAAATGAAGTTGCTTGGATTTGGTTCACTGTATGATCGAGTTTGGAGACTGTTTGGAAGGGCGTGCGAATGTCGGTAGTGTTGACTTATGGCAAGGCAAGGCTGCGACTTGACGAGGCGTGGGGGAAATTTTGGTGTCGCGTGTGGCTTGAGCTTAGAGTGGCGCGCATGCCCCAGCCACCATAGACTCAGATTCAGGGACCAGCAACTCAGTACTGTAGGTAAGTTTTACAACATATACCAGTCAATCAGAGAATAGGGAGTGGTTCGGGATATTCGAAAGAGTTCACGTATATTAAGTACCTTTTCAGAAGTTCTTACTATTCCGCACACTGCAATTGATAGGACAAACTCCAATGTCCGTAAGCTTAGCAGTTGATGATAATGTAATTCCTGCTTAGTTGTTCTATCCAGAAACAAGCTGCCAGCAAACTAAAAGGTGATTGCTCTTGATGTCTTTATAAACTGCATCGCGTCACCAGCTGTATCCCGGCTTTACTGAAACACAAAGACAACACCCATCCTATCCACTGAAACGCTCATAATATATGGGAACTCCAACAACGCCACATCTAAAATAGAATCCACGTGAGACTGCAGCAACTGTTGTTGTTGAAGGGATATAACTGTCGACCGAGGTGGTCGGGCAGTCGATGACTTGGCTCTTGATCCAGAACCAGCATTTGGGGCCGTTGGAGCCTGTCTAGGAAAACGCTCCGTGTTCAACGTCAGCGCCGTTGTTGGGTGCGAGGTCGTGTAAGTCGGTTTGGGTAGATCTGGGGACAGTCCACTGTAGATGAACGAGCTCTCCATCCGGGACAGATCCCAGAAGCGAAGTCTCTTATCTGATCCGCCAGTGACGATAAAGGCGTGTCTCACGTCTCTCGAGTCTTCTGCAGTCGCGGTTCCGACAACCATGGCACGAACTCCACGATCGGCGTTGGCGATTTCGTTGGGTTCGATGTTAGTAGCATATCGTCCAAGCATGCCTTCTCGCTTGTCTTCGTCCACGTCCCATGGCTCATACCCTTTGAGTCCATCCTTGCTGCCTCCCGCTCTATAAATTTCTCGGCAGATGGTTTTCTCTAGGTCCCAAACCGTCACCTCGCCTTGTCCAGTACCGCCAGAAATGCATACCCATTTGCCACGGCCTTTGGTAGGGTGGATGTAAATTCGGTAGATTGACCCTTTGCCTGGTAGGCCCCAGCCCTTGAGCCTCATCTTGAAACGCAGATCCCAGAGATCAACAACTCCATGAGAAGTACCAACGCAAAGCCAGTTGCGCTTCCTATCCACGCAAAAGCAAGTTGGCGTTCCATGGTGCACTGGATTTTCGAGAGTGTATAGGAGACTCATGGTCCTCAAGTCGATACCGAGAATCCTTGAGCGATTCGTAGCGATGACAAGAATCGAGTTCGATTCTTGTCTGAAATGTTCACACCACACCGCGAACTCGCCATCTGGTAGTTGATACTCTCGCAGAACGCGCAATTTGCCGTACCTAACGACTCCACTAGCAGATACGGTGTCGACCTTCACCACGTGAACGGTACCATCAGATGCACAGCTCACAAAACAATGCGAGTTCTCCACGAAACAGAGGGCGACAACTCGTGTGTTATCTCCGTGTTTGTGGAGTTGACGAGAACGGTGTGTAATGTTTCGCTCGAGCCTAGCCGTATCCCAAACCCTCACAGTACCATCGTCGCCGCCGGTGATGAAAAAAACATGATCAGGGGATGGTAAAACCCTATTGATGGGGCTTTTATGTTCGGAAAACGTTGCAACAAGTTGTCCGACAGGCTTCCAAGGTTCCTCGCCAGGTTGAACACTGGCGCGACTTGCTTTGCTCCTCTTGATTGGTGTGACCATAGGCCCAAACTCGATAACATCACGAGGGAAGTTATCAACATACATGTTATCCAACATTCTTTGTATGCTTGGATCGTTGCCTGCGTAACTATGTTTCGACACCCGGGAGCCGGTAGTGTCGCCTTCATTCCCTTCAGAGGAAGCTTGCTGGTCTGTTGAAGTCTGAGCAAAAGGCCCTTCAACCTCACCAAATGCATTCGCGTCGGTGGTGCCAGTTTGTGCGATCGATTTGTTCTTGTCCTTGCGGTCAAGGAGACTCAGGGCACTAGCCTGATGGCGCACTGCATTTCTAGAAGGTGGCTCTCCTTGAGAGGGTCCATCGTCGGTTGTCTGCATTACCTGCCCTGCTGAGGGTGCTCTAGTATGCGTTCGACCAGCGCTAGTTGGTGAAAGGAGACGGCGTGATGAACGAGGTCCGACACTTTGCACTCGGCGGTTAGTGTTGACTCTCTTTTTTCCGCCAGTCGAGTCGTCAATAGTCATGGAGGCATCCAAGAGGGCATCTGCAATTGTGTAAGGCTCCGCTGGTGGTTCAAGATCCACGACTGCATTGGGGTCTCGAAGTGGCGCGTCATTGAAGAACACCGTCTGAGGAGTGACTCCCAATGATTTGAGAGATACTACACCGTTGGATGTGGTACCATCTGATGTAGAAGTATCACGCGCCTTTATTTTACTAAGACGCCAAATGAACTCACGTAAGGCATCGAGCTTCAACTCATCCTCATGCTTGAGTCCCAGGTTTCTGAGTTTTGTCAACCATTGCTCATCTTCGTCATTTCGAGCCACTCGCCCCATGGAGCTTTGCATTAAATCCCGAGAGGTACGGCTTGATGTTGACCCTTTGGAGCCGAACAATAACGGTTTGAGCTGTTGCAGGGGCTTCCAGTAGATACCGCGTTCTGTCTTCGAGGCCCAGGTTATAGCCTGGTCAAAGACATTTCGAGCCAATGGCCTCTTGAGAGCATCAAGTATGTTGAGCTCGGAAAAGTCTGAGAGAACCTCCACTTTCAGGAACGGTTTTACAAGAGGCATCAGGTTACATCTGATATCAGCAGGTGGCAAGTACCGTGCCGACATTGACAGGAATTCTGCCGCTGATTCGCGAATCCAGATGTTTGGGTGCATCGTGAATCGGCTGATGAGGTCAACTAGCTCCCAAACCTTGGGCCTCGATAACAAACCAAGCCCAGCGAGCTGAGCAAGCGAATGGAGAGCCGCCTGTACCACGTACTCCTCTGGGTCAGTCAAGGCTTGCATCATCAAGGGGAGCATGAACTCCTCCAAGCTCGTGCTTCCGATGAAGGCTGCGATGCCGACGATCGTATCAAAAAATGCGCATTTCAACGTCCAGTCTCGATCGTTCAGATATGTGTTAAGATGAGTAAGGAGGACATCGTTTGAATGATGGTCAAAGAAGAGGCATAGCTCAGGTACGGAGGCCAAAAATGCTCTGCGAACCGAAATGTCCGGGTCTTCTACCAATTGTTTTGAATGGCTCTCAAGAGCCTCAAAAAGCTGTCGCCCAGCGTTGTCAAAGACGCTCTCGAAGTTTGCTTTGGCATCCGCTCCAGGTTCGACTTCAGGATCAGTAATAGGCATCGAGCCATCAGCTCGAAGGCTTGAGGCCATATTGAGGAATCTCTGTGCAGTAGTCGCAAGACTGCCGAGACAAGAAGCATAAGCTGCTCTGACCAAAGGACTGGGTACCCTTGATCTAGACCCCAACGCGATTTCCATGCGAGGTAATACATACTCTACCAGGACATGAGAGTTGAACGCATTGACTGTCTGCACCAGCTGCAAAAGCTGGGTAATGGTTCGAATGGCAGCAATCAACACTAGATCTGTCTCATCTGGGACAAGAAGTGTCATTAGATATGGCAAAACTCTGTCCAACTTGGCTTCATCAGTCAGTCTCTCAGAAAAGGCAAGGAGTACGTCACATGCGCGGATTCGTGAAGATGCTCGCGCAGTGTTTCTTAGTTGAGACACGATCAGCGTCAGGAATATCAACGTGCCATCATCTTCTGGTGGCTCTAATTCGGAAGATACGGTATGGTTGTGATTCGGTATGTTGAGTCTTACTGGGAAATGCGATAGGCTCAGTCTGGGAGGCGGTTGAAGTTCGTCTGAGGTACGTTTCTCAAGCTGATAACCAAGGAAGTATGAAATCTTATCAAAGTCGTAAAATACACGATCGATTCGATCATCAGCTTCTCCGAGATTTTTCGAAGTGCCTGACATGGGACTGTTGCCAGATGAAGGGTCTGTTATAAGCTCCATATACTGGTGCAGGAAATTGTAGAAGTAATGTGGAAATACTTTGCCTTTCCAGAACTCCAGGTACTGGTCTGCCGAGTATCGTTTCTCGGGGTCAAGCTGAATCATGTGGGCTATCATATCGGCGAGATCCTTGTTTGCGATGGTGCTCAGATGTGTAATCACAGGGTCGTACTCGCCACGCCGATACTTGTACAGCTGTGCGAGGCTGAAGATGTCCGACTCAAGAAACAATTGCGCAATAACGCAACCAGCACTGAAGATGTCCATTGCCCATGTCATCTTCGCCTTCTTCGGTGGCGCCTCTCCAGAAGCATAGAAGCGCTCGGGGGCGACATAACAGGTTCGGAGGCCTGACGTATCGAAGAAGTAAGAGAAATCGGCCGGGTTGTCGTCGGGGAGCATCACAGGCTTATAGGCGGAGGAGAAATCGGAGAGGTATAGCCAATTCCACGAGGTCACAAGGACATTCTGCGCCTTGATGTCGCCGTGGTAGACATCGCGTGCATGACAATCGCGAAGAGCGCAAAGCAGCTGGAAGGCCAACCATTTCTTCTCGATGTCCTCGAGGAACGGTCGAGTGCTGACTCGGTCGTATAGTGAGCTGTAAAGAAACTGGCGGACCAGGTAGCCATTGGTCTCGGTCTCGATAATGCGCTGGAATCCGAGGGTGTTGGGGATTTTGTCTATCGCGTTACTCTGCTCTGATTTTGGTTAGAAGATCTCTGGGGGTGTTCAAAACGCCCGAAGGTTACCTATTATCTGTTTCTTGTATTGCTGTAGCTTGACGTCGGCGTACGGCTTAACCAGGACCTTGACGAGCACTAGACCATTCTCGTGACGCCCACGAATAGACTTCATGAACCTCGCATTTCCTATACTTTTCTCAAAGTGAACATCACTAAGCTCCGAAATATCGATGCCTGCGGAGCCGACAGACGGCGTCGCGAGGGAGAACCCTTGACCCATGATTTGGTGGGGGGCCTAGGGGAATCGTGAAAGCTATCGATCGGCCACGCACGAAGCTATCGTCATTTTGGAGGATTGAAATGACAGGTGTACGTCGTCTGGAATATAAGGTAGGTAGCGCTTAAGCCACGATATGTTGATTCAATGTTGAGGTTACCTAACGTAGGTGTCTAGGTATGAGGAAGTAACAAGCCGTGGTTGATGCAGGAGTGAAGCTTGTCACTACGAGGGACGTCATACGGAGGCAGGTGCACGCGGAAGAGCATGCCCCACTAAACCACGTCTAAGTGAATCCAGCTGGGGCTCTACCCAACACAACCACATGGAAGGCCTTTTAAGGCAAAACAAGATATGAAGAATTTAGATCACAGTAATGTATCAGTCAGTTGGATTTCCTTGGTATCACACTTAACACCCAAGGTAGGTAAAAGGCAGCCATTTCCATGTCGTAGGTCGGTTCTTTAGCAGCTTATCCTGCTCCAAGCATGCCTAAACATAATTCACGATCCATAAACCAGATTTCACAATTCATGGAAAAATAAATCAACCGAATTGCGACTCACAGATGAAGCTATTAAGTGCTGGAAATATGATTGGGATGTCATGTCAGAATAGCAGGACCGTAATGAACTCCATTGGATGTTTCTAACAAGTAAACAGCCATCTACTCAAACAACATGAATCAATGCTGATCGGCCCGAGTCACTGTGAACCTCAAGGTCAAATAATCCCATAGCTCTCACTACAGGACATCAGGCTTTGCTGTTCCTTATTTTCAGGGTGTTTTGCAGTTTGTTTTCAGCGCTGGCTGTGAGTAACATGATCTTCCCACCATTCATGCAATGTTCAAACGGCATTCGGACTCCATAAACATCGTCGATTACTCAATCTCTCCATTAAAAGCCGAATTTAGTAGCGTATTACAACGATGAGGCGTACAGAGGCCCTCGAGCTCTTCTTTGCCCGATGAACGTTCCACAAACTGTTGAATGATGCTATAACCCACAACTCGCCAAGCTTTTTGTCACTTTGATCCTCGTTCTCGCGCAGAGACATCTACAAATAATGGAGCTTCGATTTGTGAATCAGCTCTTTTCAATAGTAACGGTACTCAAGTTCCAGGTGATAGCAAGGTCACAACCCGATATTGGCCATCGTGCCTGTTGACTTACGCAGAGGAAACGGGCTTCTAGCCCTGGCACTTCGCGACTGGATTTGTACGAAAGAGATAAAATGACGGCTCTCACTCATTATTTATATGGATTGGGAGCTTTTCATCTTTCACCAGACTGACGATGTGCCCTGACGAAATGTTTGTTGATCTCTTTTGCTAGGACGCTTCTCATCTGACATTAAACCCTGAGACTGTGTGTGGTCTCTCCCATAATTGAGCGAAGAACTCCGAAGTATACGCATCATTTATTTCTCTCTCTTTCTCTTTATCGGTTCTGTAAAGGTAAACGTGGCGGTTAGCCCAGTCTTGAATCTCTCTGACAACAATTAGTCTTCTTGGCTCTTTTTCCTCGATTGATACTCGCCTCCATCAACATCAATTGTAGCAGTCAGTAGAAATCTAAAAGTAAATTACCAAGTCTTCAAAAGCGAGCATGGAGTTTGCACATCACTTGGATCGCTTGCTACCACAGGCAGAGTTCATGAGCACCAATATTGCCAAGTAGACAACAAACCCCCAGAAATCAGCCCCCTTGTCATATCACAGTGAGGCCTTTCGGCCTACTTTGGTCTTTCGGGGTAAACCGCACAGCACAGTAGAGTTGAAGGTTCGTTTATTGGAATGCTGCGGCCACAGTGGCTAACCCATGAGCTTACTGATGATGCTAAGGAACCCTCACGAGGCATATCAGCCTGCAACTCGATAGTGTATTCTCATCCGTTCATTAAATCAGGTTGGGCCCTTTGGGAATATGTTTCGCCAATCCGGAGCAGGGACCTTCATGAGTTCGTCCTGGCTCGAATGTCCAATCTCCAACGGCTTCCTATTAACTTAAAGGGCCACAAGAGATGCTTAATAAAATCCATTTACCAGCTGAAAAGGCGCACGGTGAACGGAAGATAAAGGACCTGACAACTCAGTATGTTATACCTTTAGAAGAAGCTTTACTAAATTTGTAAACTTCTCTAATAATTTGATAAGATTTACTAAGAATATACCTTGCGAAAACGAGGGAACTGCAACTTGTATAACGTCATTTTCAAGATTCCCATTGTTCATGACCATAAAGCGTAGATAGAACTAATGAAACGAGAAAAGAGTAATCAGAAATACAGCCAAGTCCCTTGAAATCCTTAAAGCATGCAGCAACCCCGACGCTATGAATGGTCTTTCTTTTGACATAAGATAAGCTCCAAAGTGGCAATCAACAACCAATATATGATACAAAGCCAATCCATACGGACGCAATGCTCACGCTTCATGATAAATATAAAATGAAAGGTGGAAGACGGTCCTCCATGTTCCAGCAAATGGAAGTTAACCAAAACAAATCCCAGTGAGTTTTCCCCCCTTTTGAAACTTTCTTCTCCCCGGTCCGTGACGCCAATGATGATCTCAATGTAGTAACATGAGCGATGCTGAAAGCAAAGTACCTTAAACAATTGAGCTTCTCGTTATAGTGTTTCGAGAATGATGGCCCAGGTACACGACTCGCGACCACTCTATGGTCCACGACTGCGCATCGCCCGGGTTGATCGATATTGCAGTTTGGGAAGTTCCATTTCGACATCGATACCCTCGTCGGCTTCCATGATATTTGGATCCACAGCCATAGGTGCCATGGGATCTGCTGCGATAATAGGTTCGGCAGCTTCGAGCTTTGCAGGCTCCAACTTGTTCTCCTCCTTAGTGGGTGTCGGGCTGCTTTCCTTGAGGCCAACGGTCATGTCGCGGCGCATACTTATGGGCCGCCGTGTCCGGACTTTGCCCATCTCGCCTGTTTCCTTTGCTAATTCAGGCTCTTCGCGCTCTACGCGCTCCATTTCTGTCTTGGCCATCTCGAGAACCTCAGTCAGTCGTTTCTGTACCTTACTGATCTCGTCGTTGCAGTCGCCATCGCGAAGGAACTGATGAGCACCGTGCTCACACATACTCTGCACAAATTCGAGGCCCTTATCCAGCTTATCGTATACGTCTGGTGGTTGGTCGCCAGCACCGGGTCGGGATATCGACATAGGACCGAATCGCCTGCTGCTCATGTATCGTAGTGAAGGGAGAGCGTCATCATTGCTTCCATCCTCTGATACGTCTTGCTCCGCAAGCTTCTTGATCTGGGCAACTCTTGCGGCCATCTTGGCTTTGCGCATCAGGTTTCGACTTGACGAGACAAACCTCACAAGATCGTCAAAGAAGCTCTGAACATAGCTATCATAATAGACAATGATCATGCTCCGTGTTCGATAAGCGGCAGGGGCGTCTTCGTTAGACATCATAGATGGCGACTTGGGCTTCTTCCTGACCTGAGCTCGTGCTCTAGCTTGTGCGGCTTTGATAATCTCTTGTTGCTGACGAATGGAACCAGGGCTTGGGGTATGCACCTTGGGTGTCTCGGGCTTGACTGGTGTCTGTGCTGTGTTGTCACCTGCGCCATCTTCGAGGATGTCCTCGTTCGCTGGAACCTCGGCGTGAACTACTGGAGGATCATCTTTAGGCTTGAGGGACTCGGTTGAGCCTTTGTTGCGAAGCGACTTTGTCTCCGCACTTTTACCCTCTGCGGCAGCAACAGCGGCCAGCTCGGCCTGGCGTCGGTCGATCTGGCCGCTGAGGTCGTCAAGTCGCTGTAACCAGTCCGGGACGTTATTGACAAGATTCTTGAGCGCATCCATAGCCATGTCGCGGAAGTCTGTTTCTAGCGGTGGAGCCGTGTTGGCTAAAGGTATGGGGCCAGGTGATGTCCACCCGACTCCCTAGCTGTCGGATTGAAGAATGGCAATATGTGCTGGAGCTGGGGAGCTGCGTGTTTGCAGAATTACGGCGAATGAGGTAAGTTGGGGGATTTGGGTTGTATCGGGACCTGGTGGCAAATAAAGGTAGGGTGATCGGCAGCGTTTCGTGTCTCGGATGGATCAAAGTCCAGTTCGTTGGTATGAAATAGAATCAGTGAGAAATAATTGATCAAGCAAGCACCATAGCACTCGGGTGGGACAGAGGCATAGAAATTGGATCGGTTCTTGGGTGAGACTCGTGTCAGTCCTCTTTTGTCTCGTGATGGTCGTAATCGTCGTAGGCGTCGTTAGATGATACAAAGGTTCTCCCTAGACAAGAAAGGGTAAAAAGGTGTACAATGCGTTAATGCGACTTGGTATGAATTGGGCGAAAGGTCAAAGAGCTTGAAGCCAAATACCCAAAGTTACAGGAGAATAGAGGATGTTGTAGGTGTTTAAGATTAAAGAGCCAAGGCTGGTTGGTTGAAACGAAATGATTCGAGTTGGACTTGGTTTGGTTCAGGCCTGGTCTGACGCTTGATGGGTCCACTAAGATGGATCGAACCTGGCGCGATGTTTGAATGTTGGTTGTGAAGAGAATAGAACCAACAGCTGAGGCCTCGGAGAAGAGAGGAGGATGGAGGTAAAAGCAAGGTTTGCAACTGTGAGAAGTCCACCGTGAGCGTTTCCTCAATTGATCGCTTACGTCTCGTCTCGTGTCGTCTTGTCTCAACAGGGCAAGGGACTCGGCAGGTCGGAGGCTCAGGCCCTCTAGGGAATAAGTGACCGGGTGGGTAGTGGGAGTGCGGCGGGGAGAAATGGAAGCTAGAGAGCGCGGAAGACGGGAGGGAATTGAAGCGTTTTAGAGAGCCCAAGTAACGACTCCCAGGATGTATGGACCCGATCCGAACAGCCCTGTCTAGGGTCTTAGTCTTATCCGATCTTGCACTTCCAGCGGCCTTCTAAGCTCTTCGGATTGGCTGAATGGTCTCTGGACGGGCGAGGGCAAGCCACAGTCCACTAATGACGGGGGAGTTTGAGCTTGGCTCAGGCCGGTTAAGGGCTGAAGCTGGCTGAGAGTTTGCTGCTTAGGGCGCGGGAGTTGGAACGATTTAAAGCCCGAAGCGGTAGAGGCGAAGGGTCAGAATACAGAAGAGGAGCCAAGGAGCCGAGATTCAAGAAGAGATTGGCTGCAGTGGGAGAAGAGGAGGAGGTTGAATGGGATGGTGTAGAAGAGAGAAAGAAAGAAAGAAAGAAGACGAAGGGAGAGACAGGCAATTAGAGATGCAGAGTGATAACCTAAGCCTGTACGTAGCCCAATAAACGAAAAAGAGAATAAGATGGAGAGAGGGTTGGTGTGAGAGGGAGGGGAGCAGAACAAGCATGAACATGGGTGGTATGGGTATGGATGCCATGCGAGCGAAAAGGCGGAATGGGGATGGCGAGAGATTTTATTGCAGTACAGTAGCAGCAGAGAAATGCAGATGCAGATGCAATGCATATTGGAATTGCATGGTTCAAGGTCATGGTCAAGGTAAAGCAAGGTCGCTGCAGAGAGTGGAAGAACGAGGAGAAGGGTAAACAGAGCGAACGAGCCTACAAGACGGGGTGTTTCTCTAGGAGGTCAGGGGCGTGTAGAATGTCCTCTACACCACCAACAGGTGTGTACTTCAGAGGAACTCTCTGGCACACTGCATATTACATACAAAATGTATGTACTACACACTACTCGTACTACACCCTTGAGCACTAAATAGCAAAGAAGAGCAAAGGCTCAATGAGAGGGGAATTTTGGCACAGATGAGATGGGAAAAGAAAGATTCTTCCACTACAGGGATTGTCGGAGGATGGACAACGGCGGCTGGGCGGCAGGAATCACGGCCGCGGCGGCACGGTGCTGGCCTGGCTATTTGCAATGCCTTGGCTGAGGTCGGCTTTGAGGAGCAAGAACGCCTCTGACCTTGAATCAGGGCGTCAAAAGAGTAGCGAGTTAATTGACGCTCTAAGTTTATACTAAGTTTACCTAGCTATTTTTGTCGGTGAGGATGGATCAAGATGGAGCTCCATCTTGTCTCCCCAACAGTGGAGAAGAGGTTAGGGAGAACATGCAAGTAATCATGAGGTGTCATTGTTGATACACTGACAACTGTACCCGTGATGTTTTGAGATACTCATGTTGCCATGCATTGAAGACGGCCGACTCGCTGAACTCTAAAAGAGACCATCGCGAAAACAATCAACCTGAGTACTGAACAAGGACCCTTGCGAGTTGATCGGACTCGATGAGATATGCCACGGGGGTCAACTTGGGGGGAGTGTGAGATGTGCGGGATGCCACGCAATGAAATGCATTGAGGGGAGAAATGTGACTGACGTTTTAAGGGTCGGGATTAGTTCAATCGAGCTAAGCTAATTGTGCGTCTAGTTGCTTGTGGCTTGGTGTTGATTTTTGACACAAAACTGTCAATGGGGCTCGCTTTGTGCTTTGACGTTTATGAAGAGGTCACCATAAATGAGACAGAGTTTCTCGAACCCAATGGTCTTTCCAATAATCAGCCACGCTGCAAGTAACTCAGATATCATCAATCAACTTCTCTCTTGCTGATACTGTACTGGAAGATCTGCGTACTCGTAAACGGGGAATGCTTCCAGCGGGGATCATGTGGAGCTGTTGAGTTGAACCACGGCCCATGATGCCCTCTCTGGCACAGACAGGCTCATACATGACAAGTCAAGTCGCAAGGATTCAAATCATATACTGTTGCAGCTATTATTATTGAATAAACACAAACCAACAGGAGTTTCCTCTTTCAATAGCCACAGCGGATTCTCCTGTTCACACAAGAAGTGTTCATGCATGATATGACATGACAACTTATCATGTTGCACGAATCCTTTAGAAACAGGAGTAGAAACAAAATAAACGCACCGCTCTTCCGTCGATCGCATCTCGCCTTGTCCAACCTTCGGCCCGTTACTCATGGCTCTTCTATCACAATATCCGCAAGACATTCCCTCGTGCCGAACCTTCGGTGACGGAAAGGAGATAAACACACGGAGGTTGTTGAACATCGCCCTCGAAGCCTAAATCGGGAGATTCTTGCGCTTGTAGGACATTGCAATGGATCAACGTGAATGCCGTGTTTGTTTACATACCAAACCTTCCGAAGCCAGTTTCGCTTATTTCTCATTCTCATTCTCATGATATGATGGTTTTCTCGATTCGATCTGGAACTTATCGGCCAACGCGTATGTATGTAGTCTGATGTCAAGTTCAGAATTTTTGCTTTTTGTACAACCAACGTTCGGCCGTTGAACCCTTGACGAACTTAGACCCCTGCACCCCACCTTTACATTATTTCCCTTCTTTGATTGATTGCTTTGAAACTTCAGGTTGGACAAGATTGTTGGCGCTTGATGGTTAGAGAGGGTTTCCCAGGCACAGTCTGATATGTAATCATGACAGACCACTTTCAAAGCTTGTAGTGATGATAGGCAGGTCCTCTGCTGTTGTCAATGACACTTTGTATCACCCCGATCTAAGATTTCCTGTTGGTACATCCATCCATGGGTGCTGTTGTGATTTTGCAAGATGCGATTATCAATGCAGTTATCTCATTTTAAAAATTATAGAGGCAAATTCGACGTTTCCTCCGTTTCAAACCCATGGTAAACAGGGACTCATTAATGATGCATTATAGACTACCGCTTCTTTAGTTTCTTCTAGACGACGGAAAAAATTCTTTATCTGGTTTCTCATCAGAAACCCTTGTCATACCCTCCCATGCACGATCTTCCTCTGAAACGACCTACCTACAGAGGAAGGTCGAGAAACTCAACACCGCACTTCCCGTCGTTTGTGCGATCAGAGCAGAAACTGAATATCGCATGGCTACCGGTTCGCTGCAATTCCTCTAATAGGTAATGCCACAGCAGGCGGAAACTATCAGCCTTTTTCCTCAGGAACTTATCATTGTGCTGCATGACGATACCTGTTGTTAGTGACACTGTATCCGTACTTGATGATCGTCTTCAAGAAGACAGGGTTTATCAATCTCCGTCTTTGAAAGCCCACATGTCCTCTTGAATTGTCTCAAGGGTGAATGGTCCGACGGACATTAGTATGTTCTCAGGAAATTCTAATTGCTCTTCACCAGACCTCAACTCAATGACTTCCTCGAGAGGAGCATGTTGGTTCTTATTTCTCTGGTTAAAATCGAGTGTAACCCCAAACAGCTGATAGTCAACCTGTTCTTCAACCTCCAAAGAGGCTGTGCCATCGCCGCGTGTTCATGTTCAACGGCTAAAGGACAACTCAACACGCAGCCAAGCCAAGAGGATCATCTCGCATAACAGTGCATATCAACGTCGCATCAACAGCTCGTGACATGACAATAAATAAAACACACTATGATCGACTGTTGATTGTTCCCTATAGTAGTTCTGCAGCCGATGGTTCACTAACGTTGTCTAATGAGAGAAAGGCCAAGCTGTCACGGCAGTTCAAACCATTCTTGTCATTGTCCGATTCGTAGCTTTTTTCCTTTTCGGCTCTTTTTCTCTTTTCTTTGATCGGCTTCGCTTGGCTTCGCTTCCGCGATGCTAGTCCAACGGCCAACTAATAAGCTCAAGTTTGCGCCCGGGCATGAGAGATATCCATAGTAGTTTTTGTACGCCTCCCGTCTCGGTACGTTTTTCAATTCGAGACGTTTGTTCTGCTCGGCACTTCTGAAGCGAGGACAAGCAGCGCGTGCAGTATCCCCAGTCATGCTATTTCCTGATCAATGGAGTCTTGACCAGAGCGATCAGCAAGGTTCTACGGGTTGCAGGCGTCAACAATTCATCACCTGACTAGACTTGACGCTGTTGGTCAAGGTTCATATCCTTGAACAAAGCAATTTGCCCTGTTTTCTCTTCAGGAGAGCAGGGCTTTCAGCCAACAAGTGCCGTGCCGACATGGATTCAAAATGTCTCATCATGGTCATCATTAAAGAACCCCAGCTCTTAAGAACGTTGGTTGCTGATCCACAAGGATGAAAAGGTCTAGAACTTGACTAGACGCTCGGCTCAAGACGAATACAAACGGAATTTCTGATGTGTTCGATTGATATCTCGGCGGTGTGGACGTTAATAAATCGCCCGTCTCTTGCATTTCCGAGGTTGCACTCAGAAGCATGAAGGATCATCAACAGCCCCAATCCGTCAACTCGCAGCGGAGAGTGTCATTCCAGTCATAGCTGTGAGGGTTGAATCTCCATAACTTAGACGCAACTACTCATAGCAAAAGGTTTAGCCTGTCAAAGATCAGCGAATAGTGCCCGTTGGTGTTGTGCTTTGACTTTGACTTGTCTGGTCTCTGAAAGGCCGGCTCGCTCCGCTTTGACGATGCACGAAAAACGGCCAAAACGGTCGAAGGGGGGGCTTGAGACGGTGGAAGCCCTGTGCTTATGACGATATAATTACAGGGTTAGTGTCTGACAGTTTGAAAAGGGAGAACGAGAGAATATGCATTGAGACGGTTACTGAGACACTGACAGGCAATCAAAGACATGCATAGCAGATCCAAGGCACTCATGAGACCTAGCTAAGCTGTTTTCGTTATGCCGTAAAGTGCTGCAGGGGTTTTAAACTGGACGAGACACTTGATGCTGTCTGTATGAAGCACCGTAAATCGCCAGAGGCAATCCATGCACACCGATGACTTGAACAAGAAACCTTTGCCTTCTCTTCTTCTCTTTATTTCCGACTAGCCTGCCTTCTCGGAACAGGTCCGATTGATCCTAGCAGCCATCAAAGTATGTTGGTTGTTAGTTATCGTCTGTTGGTCCTAAATTTCTTAATGACAGCCAAGGAACTCATCATCATTACTACGTGCCAAGCTATGCGATCAGGCACAGTATTCTGTAGGAACTCTGGTGTCATGCTGACAATATACAGCCGTCGCTCTTTGACTCATGCCACTCGCCAACTACCGGCGAGTTAGCCAAGCTAAATTCGTTTGCTTTCTTCGTCGCATCGTTGGATTGTTTGCTTGTGGAGAGCTGCCTCTTTCTACCTGCCAGTTTGCTAGTTCTCGGCTGAAAAGGACCCCTTGCATCGGTTCTTTGGCAGGATAGCAGTTAATGTGTCGCACGATGGAATGTTGAGATGCATGTCGGCCGTTTACCTTGTTCAAGAAAAGCACATGAGACTGAGAAACAAGTTCAACCTCGAATAAACAATTGAGTTCAACCAACAGGTCTTCATGGAGATCCATGACCCCTCATGAAGTGGAGTCTTTAGTTTATTAGTCGTGTAGATCATGGCCATCTAGAACGGTCTATCCATGACAACTGTTGGGCTTAAGACAATTCATGGAGCTACTCACTAATCACGATATGTACAGAACAAGGCAAAAACTTCCGGATTGATACAACATTACCGGCCGGGCATGGACTGTGCCTCATGGCGCTTATCACCTTGTGATGCTGGCCTCAGGTGCGCCAACAATCTAGAAAGTCTACGTAACTATCAACAAACATGCAATGGCATACTCATCTCTCTAATGAGCTTGAGCTTCTTGATTCCAGTAATTAAGCTCAATTGAGCAATACATGCGGTACAACGCGATGTCTCAAGCCGCATATATCTCCCATGCTTTAATTATCTTACAAGGTGACAATACTCACCTAATTTATTCCACAAAGACCTTGAGCAATCCGGCTTATCAATAGAAAGAGGTCAACAACTTATCTTAGACAGGGTTAAGGTCGTACAGCAGCAGATCATCATCACATGAACACTATTTGGAGCCTTGGAACAGATGGTAATAAAAGCACAAGTTAAGAAACGTGAGCCTCGAAGTTATTTATATACAACTACCAGAGGCTTTTCCATGTGCAGCTAGGTGGAATACTGTCCTCGAAACTACAATGTGCAGCGATAAATACCCGAGTGAGTTGATCTATCATACTGTGAGGTTGCAAACTTCAATGGCTATATGCCGAGTTCTCATAAGCACCCCGAGATGCTATACACTATACGTGATTGACCGAGCTGAAACAGATATACATACTGGTCATGTGGTCGAAGACTCTCAACGAAGTTACTGGGATGAATTCGAGAGTTCCAGATAACCAGGTCCCAGAGTCCCTGTTCAAAGTTTCGTCAATACACACGGTTTACACAAGTGGTGCATAAACACACTATGAGACAGTCTTCGCTACCACAAAAGCGTCTACTCTCAGAATATCCAGAATAAGACGAGAAGAACGTTCTAATAAGGCTTGTATCTATGACTATCACGGAGATGTTAATTAAGGTAGTATAGCGATGATATCATAAGCGAGGAAGCAAAGTTTGTTTTCAGCCTCACAATCTAAAGTTAGTCTGCCAAGATCTTGGTCCAGGGTTCACGATAGCTTCAATGATGGCTGTGCCGTACATACTCGGGACTGATGACAGCAAAGGTTACCGCCTCATAGCCCTAGGAAATTCTCTGCAAAGTCATTCCCACTAGAAACTCTGAATGCAGTGACAGATGACTCTTTCCTGGTCAAGGTTATCGTGAGCGGCGTATGGGTTTCGGTGCATTAGCAGGGTAAGGCACCAGGGCGGCCGCTCGATGTATGTTGAGGCTCGGGCTATAGAGTATTCGGCAGATGTTAGTGGGGGCCGTGGTTACGATATCAATCACTCAGCACACTAATTGAAACAGCCTACTATTAAATTGAATAAGTCAATACACTTGCAGCCCATATGAGTCTGATGATGTGTTGAAGAGGCACATACAATCTTTCCTTGCCGTATGAAAGTGCCGACATACAATCTTACAACGCACTGCTACTCAACACCATCTGATTCTGAGGACTCAAATGTCAGCACTGTAGTGATCACAGGCACACAGAACACCTCGGTAGTTAAGTTCAAGCTCTATTTTGAGCCTCGCTCTTCGACCCCAGTTTGTTCCGTATCGAGCTTTCGACAGCTTTACTTCTAAGGGTTTCCTCGGGTTGTCATGCCTTACAGGAAAGTTCGCCGAACCATCGGCCATCGTCAGATGCTAAACCATTACAGGAAAAATGTCATCCTCCCCGGATCGGTCCCGCGTGTTACCCGCCCATTAGTGTGGGCGTGGCCTGACTTGAGGGGGTGAAACCCGCCGCTTATACACACATAGTGATTGCAAACTCACCGGCCACACAAACTCGTTGACTTGTTAGGCCAACTGGTTGAATCTTGCCTATTTTCATCTCATGTCATGCCTCGGCTTGACAGATGGAGATTTACGTGCATGTCTGCTAACACCACTTATAACAGACCTTTCACGGGGCTGCCATGCTTGAAGATTATTTAACGTTTCGCACGTGTCTTTGCGCACCATAATACGATATAGGGACTCGCCTAACCCTCACTCTAGCCTTACGCAGTTCAAGTCGTGTAAGCGCCCAACCAAGTGCGGGCCGCCTCCTCCAAAGCTTGGTTTGCATCTGTAACCCTTACCCTGCTGTGCATATTCGGAGGTTACACTCAAGCAAAACTCCTTCGCCAACGGAGGCGGACCGACTCTACGAAACTTGTTCGAAACTAGAAATCGCCGTGAGCAAGATGTGCAGTTCAAGGATCGGGGGAGTCTCTATTTGTGGTTGTGAGTTGTATTGACAGAGTATCAATCGGACACACTCTTACTAGCTAAAATAATACCCCGTAGCTCCCCCAGCCTCTCCCGCAATTTGACGGAGTACTTCTGTTGTGATGAACAGGGGTTGAAACACGCATTTTTACAGATGCGGAACTTGATGCGGAATTGCAGTCAGAGAGTTGCAGTTGAGAGTTGCAGTCTCGCCAAGTTGCATACTTGAACCGCCAATGCTGCTCTGACTGCTTGATACTGATGCATGAGAAAGTATATGAAGTCCGTTCCACATACAGAACAAATCCGCCGTATCTATTCTCAGCAAGACAGAGCGGAAATGAAATCGTAGCAACTGAGACATGCTTCCGCGAGCGCCTATAGACGAGTCAACGACCAGTGAGAAAGCTCATCAGAAATTTATGATAGATTGCTTTATGCATCTTTCTAGAACAGTCACTCCCGTCCCCAACCTCTTTCATTACAGCCCCCAATCGCAAGAACACCCATTGCTTGATGCTTGAGAAAAATCAAGATCAGACATGCTGACTTACCTTGGCCATGCATCTGCCTTGCATGTTCGACTGATATGTATGAACGGCTGCATGAGCACTTCCCTTCACCGCATCGTTCGTGTAAACTCCATTTCGGATAGAGAGTGAAAGGTGATGCGTAATATCTCGTTCCGCATAGCCGTGGGTAGCAGTCCGGTCCTTGACGGGCATTACGGCGGCGACTACCCGTAAATTACTAGATAAACTCGGTTGATCGGATCGCAGATCTTTGATCTTACGGGTCTCGTGTTGTCTTCCTGCTGGCGGAGTAATTCCCATCAAGTATTCTGACACAGGTTTGTAGCGGCGATCACTTACGGTGCATATGTTACTCGTTGAACTAGGCACCAGTTTTGAAGCCTTGGCGTATAATCCTTCATAATAGGAAATCCGTGTCTGAGAACAGATTTGGGTGCATTCTTCGCAGAATTGCTGACGTGGTCGTGCGATGTTGATGTAACGGAAATTGCTGGGCAGTATGCAATTGACGTTATAATATTATGACACGATAATGACTGGTCTTATGCTTTGACCTCAGGATGTCTCGCACGGATTACAGGGCTGTGTGATACGAATTAGGGTCCTGGTTCAGGAAAATTACAGTCGAGATTGAGAAAAGGCGATGGATGTCAATGAGGCAATATTTGCGAGCACATCTACGTACAAGTCACCGGGTGAATAAGGCTAGCAACTCATTTGCTACTGCCAGTGTCTCACATTCATAGTCCCAACCTTGAGATTGCTGGAATAGCCTTGATGCAAAGTAGATATATCACGGGTCTGCATCATGATCGCACCATCCGGTCCGTTGTGGATAAGTTTGAACGTAACTATAATATATATATACACAAATTACAATTAAACATTTGGAAGTTAGAATGGTGTTGTCTCCACGGCTTTGGTTTGGTTCTGAAACCCTCTGGTCAATGAACATAAGGAGATGGTGAGTTCTACATCTACGACTCCTGGTAAGGTTTTGAGAATAACAGACTGAATCAAGTCTATACCAAAAGCTTGATTCACGTTCCTAAAAGTTCCAGAACTGTATTATCGAGTGTAAACGCGGGCGTCAGTGGTAGTTAGCTTACACACTCGCTGTTCGCCTTGATGAGGCGTAGGCAAGGAACATGAACAATCAAAGGTTGTGGGTGAACTTTTACATGTTGCAATTCCTTATATTTTGTCCTATCTTTGAGTTGTTCGAATGGTAGGATGTGAATTTTCCCAAATTCAGACAAGGCGAAGAGGAGGAACTGAATAGGGCTTGGGATGCTGCCGTCACATCATTAGCAGTTATTCTTTAATATAACAGATGCAAACTAGAATGAATTACTCATTCTTCGTGTTTTTTTCTCGTCTGCTACATAGTGTAGGTATTTAACAACAGCAAGATCCCCTATCCAATCTCACGAACAGGCCCAATAGCAACCTCATCGCGCCGCATGATACGATACATGCAAGGACTGTTTGAGTTATTTCGCACAGTAGTCTTCATGAATCTGCTGGATATTGGTTGCTTCTGCTCCCCGGCGAGCTTTTGGTGTCATAATAGCAGTAAAGCAGCCGAGTGTCTTGCCTATATTGACCAATTTGTAAGTCGCCGTCCACGCCCCAAGAAATCGTGTCTACGGGGGTGGACAAGTGTATCATACAAGCCCATACTTACCATGGACTGTCTGTCGTATTTCCTTGCACTTACGACGTTTGTAAATTTGACATTACATGTATGAACAGTCCACGGCCATCGAATTAGCAGCGACTGGCCGTAACATCGTACGGAATGGCATTGTAGCTTTTGCAAGCGAGCAATGTCTCCGGCATCCTCTGACTGTACATCTCTTGCCCTAGGGCTTCATTTAGTAGCTTGATCGGGACAGATTCATCGTGATCTGGTAGCCTTACATCAGAAAGTTCAAGATCAGAAACCAGAGAGTCTAGATACATGTAGCATAGTCCCAATGAAAACAATCCTCCTTCAGTCTTCCTTCCAAAGGAATTTATATTGGGCCTCATTTTTTGGCTTTTTACTTGAGTCCTTCGTTCAGATCACCAGTCAGCACACCCAAGTACACAAATACTCATGACTGAAAACAAGATACATCCGTGAGTTCATCTAGACAATAGTGTTGGGTGCTCTGTTTCGCGCCAGCTTATTCAACATGTCGAATGTTCGACAGAAGCACGTTGTTAGAAGGGATCTCCTGGGAACAGCTCAACATGTGTCTTGGCCAGTCAAGGGGGGGCAAGAAAACTTAGGACCAATTCTCTAAGTAATGAAAAGACTTAGGTAAGTTTATTCTATCTTAGCAGGCCTTGAGACCAGTTTATTTTAGCACCTTGATTTAACATCAGGATTTTTCTTACTCCCTGGTGCCAGTGTACTGTTTCAAGGCCACAACTCAGTCTTCTCCCAGGAACCATCCTTCAACTGGTAATTCCATCTCCTGCCATCCTCGGGATCACTTAGATCAACCTGGTCCACCTCCTCTGGCACAATCACCACAACACGGAAGTTCCTCCTTGCAATTTCGTCGTCGAGGTCTTCAACTTTCTGCCCGAGTCCGAGTCCAGGGGCGGGCTTTTCATCTCGCTTTGTACCCGGAGGAGGATTTCGGAAAGATCCTCGCATGCCAGGGCTCAAGTTTCCAAAGTGTGCAGTTATCTCTTTACCCCAGTTCCAGGAACCCGAGTCGTCATTGTTCTTGAGGCGCATATGCTTTTCTATCTCTTGCCTGACGTGTGAGGCTGATGGATCATCGATATCTTGGCCAAGGAGATAGGCGCGGCCACGTAGACGCCACTGAGTCTTGGTCTCTACGACCCAGAAGACCGCTTCGACAGGTCCGCCGCCGCCAGACTGTGGGATATCCTCTCCATCTGTTGATAGTTCGGGGACTTTTTCCATACGAGCATCGGTGGTGATGGTGAGAAGATCGCTCTCGTAGAGAGAGGGGTTGAGAGGTGCCTGGTTCTTGGGGTTGACGGGAATCTCGGCCCACGCGCCCCTATACACGACGGTACGGGAACGAGGAGTGACTGAAGAGCCACGGTGATGAAGGGTGCTGAGCATGAAAGTTGGAGATTCCATCTTATCAACGTGGGACAGAAAAGCTGAGCGCCATGGCGCTGCTGGTATCGGGTGATGTGCCGACATTGTGTGTTGAAGGTGGCTGAGAATCTGAGTCGTTCGTTGGATGGGTCGAGCTACAGGACTCATTGGCAGTGAGAGTTGTGGGATATTACGGGAACCTTGTTGCTGCACTTGACCGTCGTGAGGTTGTTGTGAGCGAAGCTGGTAGGTAGTGTTGAGGTCGTCAAACCCCACTTCAACATTCAGTATCATAGGTCAATCATCGGAATATCCATCTATGAGTCATTACGACAACAGTTAAGCTGGGAGCATATGCCAAAGAGCCGACTGCTGGATTGCCAACGGTATGACACCTACCTCGAGCCAATTCCCATGTCAAATATCGGTACAGGGTAACGATACGAATGAACCATCACAGGATTCAGACATCTGCAATAGTCCAGGTAGCCAGGGCTGAGCCAGCAATGATCCACCCACATATCCAGAATATTTCCGCCCTCGGGTCGTACTTTCACGATCGTTTTATAAACCCGTAGTATCACCATTTAGGTTTTATAGTGTTAAGCTTGGTCTTTCTCGCTGCAACGTAACACACTGGTGATTTGCATCATGAAGTTGACAACTAGTCATGGAAAATATAATTGAAGACCACTAATGACTCTGCTACGCTCGCTTGACCTTGTCTGATCCTGCAGCTTATGACTAATTAGCCTGCGAACTTATATTAGCACAGACGCTCATCGCAATTGTTCAAGAACTGTTGACATTCCACGTGATGCATCCGGCCAGGGTTCAACAGCTCTAATTACTACAAAAAGAGATATCACCAAATGCAAGCTACGCAAAGAATATGACGAGGTGGCCGCTCAAAGTCAAGAGCCAATGTTGGCACAGAACGTTGTCACTTGCCGCAGGGGACATTGCGTACGTCATGAGCTCCGCCTCGGATTGGTCAAAGAAGTTCTCTCTGATTGTTCTAGACCGTCCGGGGTCCGGGGCTCGAGGGAGGCTAGCAACGGAGGGAGCGGCAATACCAGCGGAAGTTGGTGACGCGAACAGGGGGCTGTTACGAAACTACGAATTGCCGTCGTCTCTATCGTAATGTAGGGAGACAATCTTGAATGAGTTGGGGGGGGGTGATCGACCAACAAAAATGGTGCTTCTTGATATTTTCCCACGCGTAAATTGGCCACTATTGTCTCGTGTTTGGTGTGTTGGGAGAGGAAGGGTAGTGCTTCGGGGGACTCCGATTGAGAGGAAAAGAAAAGGATCGACATCGCTTCTCTCATTCTTTCTCGAAGCTTACCTGGTACGTAAGTTGATGCACAGTAGCGCAACTGCCAACTGCCGCTACATTCTTGGTGATCAGACAAGACGTCATGAGCCGGCGAGAAGAGTCCAAGGGGGATTTAGAGTTGAGAGTAGGGATTTGATGGAACGCGGCATACAAGAAAAGGAAGATCAAGGAAGTGTTCATGTGTTCCGTTCCGTTTCCGTTAACAGGGGCGCAGTTGATATTGAGTTTGACTATCAACGACTGGGATTCGTCCGGCAGCTCTGGTAGGTCAGTTTAAGCGGAGAAAGCTGGAGATGCTCGTCTCAGGCACGGAGATCGACTAGGACTTGTCGGAGCGATGTAGTTCCTCAAGGCGGTCGACCAGAAGACTTGGCTTTCAACCAAAGCCGCTGGCGCCCGACTTTACCAGGGTGCCGGACTGTTGGGATCGGGTTGGTCTTGCTTCTGCGACGATCGTTTTCAGATGCGGCCCATTCAGAACTACCAAACCTTAACATGGTTTCTCGGCCTGGCCTCCAACTCCAAGTTTCTGCGTTGCAATTTAATCAGCGTCGCTTTTCAAGTACCGGTCAATCCGCTGGGGTGATATATGAGCTGATGTGAGAAGTTTCAAACACATTCTTCTGAAATAGCAACGGCCTCGAAGCGTGATTCCTTCGGTTGCACTAATTGCGCAGACACTCGCCCATATTCAAATTACCGTACTTCTGCCCTGGTATGGCATTTCGACCAAGCCTGCATGTATGTCTCACAGTGAGATATTTTGAATTACCTCTGTAAGTCAGGGCTGGAGCGGCGCTCAGTGAAGTGGAGATGATCATAACTTGGTCATTGAGCTTTTAGCTAAAAAAGACCCTAGGCCTGGGCCAGCCATATTGCATGTTATTTCCCCAAGGGTCTCTCAAAATCCAATGGTGACATTTCGCGATGTCCCCAAACAAAGGCTGGAATAAAATATGGGAATATGTTGGTGGATTCCATATACCGATCTGCGCACTTTTTGTGTCAACTCTGCGAATCGAGCGACGACGTACGTACTAGTTGACCGAGTCGGCACTTGTTGACGAGGCCTTCAACCATTAACGGAGTCCTCGGTCGATCCGTGCACCGTTTAGCTCTTGATAGTCACGGAGTACCACTTGAAGGGGTACCTGACCGAGCCTAGAGTGGAAAAAGGAGGCTGAAAGTGAAAGGCCTCGCTTGAAGAGTGGGATGGCCAATTATTGTTTCGAAGCGAGGTGGGAGAGACCAAGTAGATCAGACGGACATGTCAGAGAATGAAGGAAACCTGGACTCATAGTCTGATGTTATTTACCCCTTTGTATCGAGTAATGAACGGGGTCTAGGAATAGGTTTCGACGGAACATGGCTGCGGGCTAGTTGCATTAGGGGAGTTCGGTAGTTTCCCATTCGCACTAATTGGGCGTCAACAATCTGCTGCAATCATTTGCACCTGTCAGAAGTGATTTCGATTTGTATCGATAGTTGTAGATCTGGCGTCCAATGGTGGTTGCTCTTGGCGATCGAGTGTGGTCGGAAGAACGCCAGAGTCTCACTGAGTCTTACTTATGTGCAAAAAGCCAACAATAACAACGAAATGAAGTCAAGTCAAGATTCGGTAGCTATCTGCAGGTAGTTCGTGATAGTCTTCACTTTGACAATGCGTAGGGCGTCGTCTGAGTAAGTATGGCCTGAGTCGCAGAACGTATGGATACCCCTAGAAGGGTCTAACATCGATCAGACGGGTGTACGCGAAAAAGATACATGTAGGATGAAGAAAAACAGCCGCAATTTGTGAGATGGATGGATGAAATTTGTTATTACCCTTGATCTTGGGCAGGTACGGAAGACAAAAAACCACGCGCCAGCGGGCGCAAATTCCGTACCTAACGCATACAACTTCCATTAGAGGCATGGTAAGTTAGGGGTCTCCCGGTGGAAAGGTACCTACAGTACTAGTAAAAGCGCACTTTCTAGAGTGCTGTTGCCATTCCCACTTTGTTACTTGCTCCGCCCCCGCCTTTTTTTTTCACGCCCAGGGCATCACTCCTCTTATTTTTGACTCTTTTTCCTCTACTGTCCCATTTCGCAATTCCCTTTTCTTTTCCGGGGTCTCTCTCTTTTTTTTTCGGTTCCATTTCGACCTTGTTATTCCCTTGGATTGACACTGCACTTTAAGAGGTTCTTTTACGCTCTGGCCCTACCGACGCGGATACAGTGCTTGCTCTCACTATATCCGTCGCTGAATGCTCCCGCCAACCGTCGTTATCACTCGTTGTCTACCTACCGTTACGGCTGTTCTAATGCAATTATATTGCCCAGGGCTAACAAACTCTCTGCCGTCTGGTCGCTCTACCCCAGCTACTGCCGCTACCGCTGCCGCTGCCCTGCCGCGGCTGCCCATATCCGGCCGTTATTTCCAGCGCCGCCCACTGCCAGCAGCCGAGTTCCGGCGACATAAACTCATTCCCGCGTCAGTTTAAATCAGCAACCCGTATCAGCTCAGATTCCAGTCATTATTCCCGGGGTCTTCCACCTAAACCTAAAGTTATCCCCAGCCCAGAGCTATCAGAGCTCCAGCTCCAGCAATAGCTAAAGCTCCAGTCCCAGCTCCAGCTCTGGATCCAATCGAACTTCTTTTCGGTCCAGGTAAATCCCAGATCTCAGCCCCATTTTCTTTCAGATCCAGCTCCCACTCTGCAACGTCCAATTGACGCGCCTGTAATACCCTCAAAAAAGGCGCTCATCCACTGGACCGAATATTTTGGCGAGCTTTGTATCATCGTCAATGGATCTATCACAGCGGGCGCTTCCGCGTCACACTCATCACCAACCACCACCATCTCTCTCAAATCCTTCGCCCTCACATATGCCGCCTCAACATTCTACGTCTACGTATAGTCCTGGTCCCGTTGCCTCGCATCCAACTCTCCCTCTTCCCGGAACTCACCCACCATCCTCGGCTTTGACACCAGGATCGGCCTCAACGTCCCCTGCATCCATCTCCCACCGGTTACCTTCAGCATCAGCTTCGACGACATCAAGGCATCCTACTGGCGATTATCTCCCTGACGCAGATGATCAAGACGCGTCGACACCCGTGGATGGAGAGGAACCTCCAAAGAAGAAGCAAAAGCGCAACAAGCCAACTCTTTCATGCCATGAATGTGTAGAGCGCAAGACCAAGGTGCGACATTTTTCTCCAATGCATTTTCTCATGCTGTGTCGTGCTGTCTGCATATCATCTCACTCATCTCTACTCATGTTCCCCATATGAGATGAGCCCACTTTACCCCGACATTCTGGCTCAGTATGGAATTTGATCATGCTGGGTTGTCTGAGCATGCCCAAACAATCCCTCTTCTTTCCTTCTTTTGCGTGAAAGTGAGTTTAGTTCGTTGGATGAATTACTAACACCGTTAAAAGTGTGACAGAGGTCGACCCCATTGTCTTGCCTGTAAGTGCACCTGGATGTTGTTTTGCTGGTTTTATACTAACCTTTAGCTAGGTATAAAACGACAGACTGAATGCCGATATGCCCATGTCGCAAACCTTCTCGAGTATGAAGCCTCCCGACTGAGTAACTATATGTTCTGATTTAACAATCAAGTAGGGAGACCACCAGGTCAGCCGCCAATGGCCGCCGTATGACGAAACCCCCAAAGAAGAAGTCTGGCTCTAGTGGAAAGTCCCCCATTCCAAATATCGCAGATAGGGGTATGTCGAATGATCCCAGGGCAACCTCGCGTGGCGCTGTTGCCCTCTCTATCGGCCTTCTGTCCAACGTTCCTTATTCCTTGCCTTCTGCAAGTAACGTTTTTGGTATCGGGTCCGAGCACCCATTTGCCAACTACTGGACCTGCGAAGGGGGCTTGCCTGAGGTTATCTCGGTGCTTCCAGACAAGATTCAAGCCGATATACTACTTAGCCGATACTTCGAATGTGTTGACCCCGTGTATCCCATGATACATCGCCAGACATTCTATGCGGACTACGAACACTTCTGGCAGATGAATCAGCAAGAAAAGACCGATACAGATCCGTCCTTCATTGCATTAACCTTTGTCATGCTGGCCCTGGGAACTCAGTTTGTAACATCGACTACATCCCCACAGGAGCGAAGGCAGACAGCAGAGTTCTATGCTTCGGCTAGCAACCAAGCTCTCCGTATCGCATCATATCTTAGCAGTGCATCGTTACGGTCAATCCAGGCTATGGTATTGCTAGTGTACTTCCTTATAAACGACAACCATGCCTCGGATGGGTGGGCGTTTGCAGGTATTCTGATTCGGCAAGCTTATGCTATGGGTCTTCATAGAGATCCAAATATTGGTGGGTGACTGTTTTCTTTATTTGCTACTTTTCTTGTACTGATTTCTTTTAGTGACTCCAAATGCCACCCTGTTTGAGAAGCAGCAGCGGCGTAAGGTGTGGCAAGCGGTACTTCTCCAAGATACTTTCTTGACCGTCTTGCTCTCCCTGCCACCGTCTGCGACACATACAGATGTTTCCGTGGAAGACCTACTCGACGATGGCTCCTCGATTGCAAATAGCGACCCAACAGATACGGCATATATCCGAGGCTCTTGGACTTTGGCCAACTTGGTTCAGGAGACGATCTGCTCACCAAGATCGTTAGACCTACCAATCTGCACTACGGCAAGGCATAAGTCTAAGTTGATTGCTGACTTCCGAGCTGTTTACCGTTCGTTCCCTGACGTCTTCCGGTCTTGGGATCCTGATAGTATCACGGCGCTCGCAAAAACCAATAAGAGGGTGGTTCGTCAGACCCTGTTCCTGACGAGCAACTACTTCCATAACTTGATGCTTGTTCATGCTTCCGAGAGCCCTGATGTTCCTGTCAATGTTCGTGGTACACTGGAGGCAGCGCACGACGCCATTACAGCTTTCTTCCTTCTTTTCACCCTTCTTGAGATAGAAGCACGTGTTTGGTGGGTGTTCAACCACCGAGCTTTCTTGGAGGCGCTGTGTATCGGAAATGTCCTGAAGGAGGCTGCTCGAGAACCAGGTGGTGCAGATATGATGGCAAGAGATCCTCTCCTTGTCAGGGCAAAAGCTGATATCAGTGAGTATTGATGCCTTTGTTGTTCCTGGCTTCCCTGCTAACATGTCGACAGCACGCATGATCCAAATCATGCAGGTTATGGGCGAAGACTCTGAGGTAGCGAGGACTCGAGTGCAGGTTTTGAGTGACTTTCTGGCATGAATGAGGCAGTGGTCTGTTTGTATAAAAGTGTTCTGGTTGACGACTGAATGAGACGTGAAGCATGTTCAGGGGCAACATTGGTCTAGCACGTCAGCAGATATCTAGCAAGGCATGTACATACCGAAGGCCATATTGTTTGATATTCAAGCTGCGAGTATTCATTGCATGCTAGAAGATAAGTAGAGCTTAGCACAACATATGTATACCCAAGAGAGTAGCATAATGCTTCTTCGCTGTTCTCTGATGTTGTGTTTGTTTGAATTTCTTGGGATATATGTCTGATGAATGAACTATCCAAGTTGTCAGTAACAACTAGAAAGAGGGAGAAAACATCATGTTAATGATTCATTGGGCATCTTGAAAATATTGAAGGCATTGCCATATTCAAATATTGCCAAGACAATCAAGGCAAGGGAATTGCCGATGCCGATATGCCCCACTCACGACACCAAAGACTCGGCCGGGGGCTGAAGGATGGACTCGTCAGCTCATGGTTAATGATTGGCCACTCGCTTAAAGTGTGGGTTGATTGATTGCGTAGCCCGACCCTTTCAAGATAAGGCCGTCAGCCAGGCTAGACTCAACAGGGCTCCAGAGCTGTTTCAGTGCCTAGGCCATCGTGGGCTACAGGGCCATTACAGGGCCTGTTTTGGGAGGCATCCGCGTGGCCAGGCTCCCACATCCCGTCTAGTCGCGTGGGCTTTTTCGCTCTCATTTCCACGGGCATGTCATCACCTCGACTCAGCTCGTCTCGTATTTGCTCTTAATTCTTTTTTCCCTTCTTTGAATTATCAACCCTTTCGCTCCTTGTCTCATTTTCGTATCATTCTGCCTTAAGCTTCTTTGTAGGGTGGCTGCCTGCGTTATATCCCCTGCTCTGCCGTGTAAGAGGGGTTTTTGCAGTTGAAACTGCTCAGTATCCTACCATAACAAGAGATATTCTCGACCATCATACCTCACTATGCGCGGCCTTGCTCAGGCTGCCATGGTGCTAGCACCGACGTTGGTGTTGGCTCATGGACCTCACCATCCTCCTCCTCCTCCTCCTCCGCCACCTCCTCCCATGGGATTTCTCCCCTCAGCTCTCGATGTCACACCCTCAGCCTTCGTCACAGTCAAGCTCCCCTTGAGCGAATCCGAATCCTATCCTCTGGTCCGTCTTTGAGACTTGATTACAATGCCATGAACTAACATGTAATAGACACTACGATTTGATGTGGAGGAATCAGAAGAAGTCTGTGGTCCCGCCAGCATCACCCTCAATGGCGAACCCCTCAAGCAAGACGCCAAGGGTCGCGGTGTCGGATCTTTCCTCGTCAACAATGAGACCACTATTTCAGCAGACTGGGATTTCGAATGCATCGGTCCCAAAGAATTCCCATTCGGCCAGTCTATGCGCTTTAATGTCAAGGCTCTCGACGACATGGCTCTTACTCAGGAGTCTTCCTTCTGGATGACTTTCAAGCAAACCGCACCAGTCCGAATCTCCGATGTTGGAAACGCCGCCTATGTTTGGAGTCTGTCAATGCCTTTCAGCAAGGACAAGGAGTCCTCCTCTGACGACAAATCCGCTTCTACATCACCCCCCATCTGGGAGTATCCCGACCGCGATTTCCAGGATCCCGAGGAGGAACTTCAGGTTGAGCTTATGGAACTGAATGCTTTGCACAAGCAGATTCTTCAGCTTGAGGAACTGGTGAAGGAGAGGGAGGCATCTGTTGCTAAGAAGCTGGGCAAGCAGTATCCTCCCCCACCCCCCTCGACCATGAAGAAGATCAAGCAGTGTGATGGCGTGCAGTGTGTTCTGCACACTGTTGGTGAGGAGGTGCGACACTCGGCCCACAGATTCTACGATAGCATATTTGGACATCCCCGACCTCCTCATGGCCCGCATGGTCCTCATCATGGCCCTCACCATGGAAACGGTACTCACCGGGGCCCTCATCCTCCTCATCATGGACCTCCTCACCCCCCGCCGCCTCCTCACCATGGTCACCCTCCCTTCCCCTTCCCTGGAGGTCACCCTCCCCCTCCTATTTGCGCCCCTTGCGCCTGCGATCCTCACCATGGAAACCCTCCTCCCCCTCCTCACCACGGAGACAAGCCTCATCACGACAGGCCCAAGCATGGTCACGGTGGTTTCGGCGCTGAGGATCATGAGGGCCACCCCCCTCCACCTGTAAGTCTAATGCTTCAACCAGGAATTGAATTCGTTTCGCTAACTACTCCTCAGCCTCCTCACCATCCCATCATTATCATCCTTGGAATCGTGACCATTGCTCTCGCTCTTTTCTGTGCTATTGCTATCGCCTACATTCACCGCCGTGTAGCGCGTCTCAGCCCCGAGGCTCGTCGTGCTATCCGCCGGGCATTCCGCCAAACTCGCGATGAGCGTCGTAAGAACTCTGCTCTGAAGGCTGCTTACCGTGCCTTTGTTACTCGATGGATCGAGAACGAGGATGATGAGAAGGAGGTTATGCTCAGCGGTGAGCGACGCCGACGATCATCTTCCTGCAGCAGTGTTACCATGGAAGAGGAGATTGCTTCCTTCCGTGAGGCTGCTCATATGGTTGAAGGCATCGTCGCTGCCGAGGAGGGTCACCACAGTCATGCTCGTTCTTACAGCTACGCTGCCGGTCCTCCTGTTCCTCCCCGTCCCTCGCACCACACTGCTGCCACAGCATACCCCGGCTTCATGGAGACGGATGAAAACCTTCCTGCCTACGACGACGATGAGCGTGACTCGTCGGTTGTAGCAGATGGATGCCGATACACTCCTGGCAGCTCCGATTATATCCCTTCAAACTCCGGGTCCAATGCCAGTGATGTCCTGGGGGATACCAAGAACTAAATTAGACTCAATGACCTTGGGCATGAATGATTTCCTTTGCATATTACTATGATACACCGGATTTTCCTTATTTTGAATTTATGCGCATCAGATGTGGGATATTGGGAATTGTATTTACAAACAGCAAACGCTCTCGCTCAATAGAAGCTATAGCAATCTAATACCACAACTTGAAACATACATCTCTATAATACGCTCTTGTGCCTGATCTATTTTCCTTGTGCTTATTCACGCATGCTCGTCTTGTCTATCATCCGAATATGAACTCTTCGTAATTTCTCGCAATTTTCTTGACGCCTTCATCAAGGTTCCAGCCCTTGACCCTGCAAACATGTCGGTACATGTCTTCCAATGCACTGTCCATTTGTTTGCCGGCAATGTGAAGATCACTCTCCACTAGGATGCTGTCATCAGGCAGGGCCCGTAGGACATCGTCAGTCTTACTCCGGCTAGCATCAGTGCTTAAATTGACAGCTGTTGACAATGAGACAAAGATACGAGCCGGGATTGTTCGGTTCAGATACTGCCTCAATACTTCGACACTAGCGCTGAATGAATGCAGACACATTCGAGGGGGGTACGGCTTGTCACTGCCGTCGTCGTCGTCGTCGTCTGAGAAGTCCTCGGCACCCGATGCCACAAGACGGCGCTTTCGTCGTGTTATAACCTCCCGCTCGTGGCCCTTCCACGTTGCCGCAAGTGTCTCATACAAGATGCCGTGAGCTTGCACGCCATGCACACTGACAGCTCTGCGAGCTTTTGCAGCAAGACGAAGCTGTGCGGCAAGAATATCACGCTGGTGCTCTATTTTCACGCGATAAGGGCTGAGCTGTCGGCCCTCACGACCCCCTGGTGTGAGTGTTGAATCTCTCTCGACATGGTCTGATGGTTGCCACGGTTCTGGGAGACGAAAAGCCTTATCAAGGCCGATCTCACCAACAAGAGCGCAAGAGCTAGTGGATAGACGGGATTCAGTTGCATTGAGAAATGAGCTTATAGCGATAGGGGAAGGAAGAGAAGCAACAAAGTCTGGTGAAGGCACTGGCTGTAGAACGGCATTATAATGTGCTTGTTTGGCGGCATTGTCGGTCTCGGAGCCGGAGATGGACTGAAATGTCGGAGTGTCGGCCGAGTCGTCGTAGAGTAGATGAGAAAACCATGGATGCCAGCCAAAGGAGGGAATAGCACAGGTATCTGTTGCTTCGGATTTTCCTTGCAAGAGTGATTTAAGATCCGGGTTGGAATGGTTGCTAGCGACATCTGTAACGAGGTCCTGGTCCTGGGCACGTGTTGCCATGATGGTCAAAGCTGCTGCACGCATAGAGGGTATATCAGTTACCGAAGCCATTGTATCTGTTGGATGGCAGTGGGCGTCGCATATTGGCAGATGCCAGGGGAATGGGGGCTGGTCCCCTGCAGGTTCTGGCTTGGACTGCTGAGGTTCATCATAGTTATGGGTGTGTTGACACATGTTGGTGTTGATGGTCTGATAATGGTAGAGCCAAAGTGGTGTCGAGATAGCGGGGTTTAGTTAGCACTGCAGACGAAGTTTCCGTCGAAAGAAGCACGTATGAGATTGATACCCTCAATGGCCAACGTATCGAAGGCTTGGGGCTATGAAAGACAAGTTTGGGTGATGTCAGCGGGGGAAGCTGATGTGGATCATGATACGGGGTCAGGCATTATCGAGGCTCCAAGTGGGGTTAAGTTATGATGAGATCGGTCGATACAGTACGAACATGATAAGCGTTCAGTTAATCTGGGGTAGATTTAGTTTGCATCTAGTGAATTTGGGAGGCCGAGCTTCAAGTTTGTGAATGAATTTCAACTGCCTCGGCTTGTAATCACTCATGTGACGTGTGTGGTTGATATTGGTTAGCAATGGGCTTCAGTGGTTGTAAGGCAGAAGCTGTAAGTTGCTGTAAGTTGCTGGACAGTTTTTAGTATACCCACCGATTCCAGGGTCCTTTTGTGTTGCAGTCGATCCTCACTGGGCGCGCAGAGACTCGGAAGTTTAATGTAGTCATTCAGTCCATTGATATATCAGCATTGTGATAGGGATTTGATACTGCAAGTGCATTGAAAGGCTCGTCATGATGTGCAATCATTCCTTATCGTTGCATTCCACCACTGACGTTGCTTTGTCTGTACAGTCTGGCAGGTATCATTGGCCCTCCTTCTGCCAGCATGAAGCTTCCTCCTACCGTTTACTATCACTTGCATCTCTTCCTGGTGCAGGTTCCCCGCACGATCCTTCCCTGTGGCTTGTCGCGTTGCCGTACGACAGTCACCTCAGACACCATAAAAATGGGCAAGTGCAGCATGCAAACCGACCTAAGCCAAGCCAGGCCAAGGCGAAACACCATTCACATGTGATTGCCTCCTCCAAGTGTAATCCTCCTCACCTTAGACCTCCGTCGCTTTCCTTTACCTTATGCCTTCTCCTCTTTTCTTCCCATCTCCCGAGATACATATAATTACGGCTTCTACTTTGCTTCAGCTACAGCTCGATGCAACCCTGTAGAGTCACATTCACCGTACACCGACGCTACATTCTCGCCGGCTCAAGCACCTAACCCCTCCGCGGCGCATCTTTTCTCGCTCCCCGGAAACAATCTATCCTATCACGGCTTTGGGGGATGTCGACGCATATCTCGTCCTAGAGCGGCATCCATCCATTCTATGTACATATCGGTACTCTACACCAACTAGTCGCCCTCCTCTTGGTTCTCCTTCTTCTTCCTCTTGCTTCTCATTCTTTCATTTCCACATCTTCTTTCTCCTTATAGCCCGTGCCCCCATCTGTAACCGCTAATTACATCGTCGATAACCTCCACGCCTCTATACAGCACTCTTCGAAGTCGCTGTGGTCATGTGCTGCTAGTCTCGTTCTGTAACACCATCAATATGGCACTCCTCAACCCTGTATACGCCTTCGTCGTGCCCTTCCTGTTTGTTGTCACGGTTCCTCTTGCTGTCTTCGCTGGTATCACAACTACTATCGCTTTCTCTGTTCTCATCCTCCGAGTTCTGGCAGTGTATCTCGACGTTGCTCTCTCCTTCGTTCCTCATTATTTGGGTGGACGTAAGACTCGCCCTTACCATCCAAATACTTATCATCCTCACCATCAACTCCTCGAACCGTCACCTGCAACGCTCTATACCAATCCTATACCTGCTTCTGCTGGTTCAACAGCATTTGAGTCCTCTTTGCGACGCCGTCGGCATAGAAGAAGCTCCAGTGCTCTATCCACGGCAGGCACTACCACTCCAATCAGCGAAAAGGGACTTGGCTTACTACCAAGCATTGGTCCAGAGCGAGACTTCGAAGGTGTTGGTGGCTGGCGCCTGGGCGGTGACGATGAAACATGGACTACCATAAACTCACGACTTGAATTACCTGACAAGCAACACCATGGGCGAAATCATCATCGTTCCCCATCTGGTGGCCCCACGACACCAGGAGAAGGCGGGTATCTCATGATGAAGGGTCGCAACCGAAGCCCAGGAGCAAAACGCTTAGCATCTCCTAATAGCTCCCGTACAAGGACACCTTCTGGCCCTCGGATCGCTTTTACAAACAAGTCATTCATTGACAGTTACTTTCCAAGCCTCAAAACTTCTCCAAAGGGACTGAAAAAACTCCCGACTCAGGGTGTCGTCGATGCGTAAGAACGACTCAGACTCTCTGCGCGATCGTGTAAACTATTATAATGATCTAATGAAAGGTTGTGGTTAAGGAGGTAAATGGCACGGGACCAAAAGTGTCACAGTTAAATGGTAATATGGGGGTTTCCATTGGCGTTTGAGCGAGAATTTGTCAATTATCTGGATTTATGATGATGCAAAAATAAGATATCAATGCCGTTTCGAAAGAAAACGACAGGGGCGAATTCTAATCTGCCATTGCTCGTATACTGAAATGATATATTGGTTGCAACGTCCTATTCCTGGTATCTGCAACGCCTCCAACGCCAACCCAGCGAAAAAATACATTATCATGATAACATTGGCCAACCAAAAAGAAGGGATTGTCTTCTTAGAGAGTCTGCCAGAAGTAGTTTGCGTAAAAGAACCGCGAGAACTTCTTGTCCATGTTGACAACATGCACGTCCCCTTTGCGATCATTCCGAATAACAGCCTTGGACCACTCACCATCCCTCTCGTCCCTCTCAATGTCGATGCCCAGGCTTCGATACACCTTGAGCCTCAGCAGCACCTCGTCATCAACTGGATCTCTGCGTCGAGCATTAGCTGCCGCATCGCCCTCCACGCCCTGAAGCTCCAGCTCGCGAAGACGAGCCTTGAGGTCAGCGGCCGTCAGAGCAAGGCGCTCAGCGTCGGTTTCAGCATCAGCGGCAGCTTTGGCGGTACGAAATTTCAGGGTGTCTAGGCGTGCGATGTTGGACGCGTGATCCGCTGATGAGTGTGACGCAACGAGGTCGTCGTGTCGCGATGTGTGTGTGGCGAGCTGACGAGAGAGCTTCTTCAGTGAGGATTCTGCCTCACGAACGCGAAGGTCGCGAGCTTGTTGGAGTGTCGAAAGTGACTCTGTAACACGGGAGACGGCAAGTTTGTCTGGTGCGATGTTGAAGTTTTCGATGGTATGATGAATGAGCTGGGTTTGTTAGCTTAGATAAATGGGGCTAAAAGGAGTAAGTACTTACAATTGCGGGTTCTTCGGAGAGCAACATCTTTGCGGCTTATCTCGGAGTGCTTGACTCAAATGCGAAAGATTTCGTGTTAATAACAGCTATAAAAGGGAGTTCCTCTACAGTCTTAAACGGTGATGATGGTGAACTTGGTGTTTTGCCAACGCAACTCCCTTTTGGGCTAAACACGTTTCCGTCGTCACGACGACAATCAAAGCTTATCTTATCAGCAACCACTTTCCCCCACCTTATTTAACCGAGCTTTCCCCGTCAACGCCGCACAGCGTCATCGGGCCCGCCACAGCCAGGCAAAGGTGAAGCCGAAAAGAGCTACCTCTGAATAACACGTGCAACCTCCATTACGTTACGTTTGCCATTCCACCTCGAAAGCCTCCTGATCCTGACCAAGATAATTGATACAAAGACTCCTATTCCTCCTATACAGAATACACCTTTGCGTTCTTTGTCCTCGAGGACTTGTCTCAAAATGGTTACCGAACTACCATGTGAGTTCTAAACTGCATGACGATGTTCTAGCTTATACTGATAGCCTCGCTAGATGCGCTCGATGCCGAGACGTTAGTCCTTTGCTTTGAATATACGACGATTTCTATATCCTGACTGACGGCGACAGACCGCTGAATGCCTCTGAGCTTAATGTACTAAAAGCGCAATACGAGCGCGAGGGTGAGATGGTTGGCGTCCAGACCAAGTTCAACTACGCCTGGGTAACCATCCTACGTCTTAACCTATGAGCCATCACACTAACTGAATATCAGGGCCTCGTCAAGTCCAACCAGCGAAACGACCAGCAGCTCGGCGTGCGTCTTCTCTCGGATATCTTCCGCATCTCCCCCGAACGTCGCCGCGAATGTCTCTACTACCTTGCCCTTGGCAATTACAAGCTCGGCAACTACGGCGAAGCGCGTCGGTACAACGACCTCCTTCTTGATAAGGAGCCCGCCAACCTTCAAGCATCCAACCTACGCCAACTGATTGATGACAAGGTTGCCCGCGAGGGGCTGATGGGTGTTGCTATTCTGAGTGGTGTTGGTGTTGCGGCCGGTGTTGTGGGAGCATTTATTCTGAGGAATGCTAGGAAGAGGTAGATGACGATACTGCTAAGGAGGAAAACGTGTAGGGACATATATTGCATGGGCGGTTTCGGGGACACTTTACTCACTCTTCACTATAACATCTGGATTGGGCCCTCTTGGAGTCTTGACATTATGAGATATGCTTGCACTACAAAATAAAGCGACCATTACTACATACGTTAACCCATTTTATATAAGTTTATCATTAATCACCCTAATTCCATCGCGATACTGAGGTGACAGACAGGGCATCGGCTATTGGAAAGCCACATTCGACAAGGTAGTACAAATTTGCTACATGTCTTGCTACGTGATGATTTTCACATGTCAACGTCACAGACAAAGGTGTTGGAACAAGAAAGCTAGACAAATAAAACAATGTTAAGGAAACCAAGAACAAGCCAGCTAAGAAACAAACCAAAGAGACGACGCATCACCATCTAGGGAATATCATCTATCGAGACATAAATGACCATCCTTGTCTCAACAAACGTACAACTAAAATACAACAAGCTGCTGCTCGACAACCTCCTTGGCATCACCCATCTGATCCTGTCTAATATCATCTATGACCAAGGCACCATTAAGCCCAAGGGGAAAGAAAGGGGTATCCGAAGGCAGAGTATGTGAGCAGAGCAACAAGGTAGTGTAGGCAAAGCACAAGGAGCCAGCATGTCGCCCTAAAAAATATGGCGAACCAGATGCATAAAACATATTAGCATCTATAACGTCTCTCCTAGCGATAAGCGCGCAGATTGAAACGCCTTTCGCCAGTTTCCCTGCTGTTCTTCTCTCCAAAAGGTATTCTCATGTGAAAGATTAGAGGTGAGACCAACAGGTTCTCAGGTTTGGTTTGACTCAAAGCATGGTCAGAGAAAAACGCTTGCCTGCAACTTGAAGTCATACCGAGACTCCTGCAAAGCCATATAGTCTGCATCTCCCGTCTTGCATGACTATTCTTCATAAATGACTTTTGTTCCGTCTCCGTACGACAATCATTCCATGTGGCATATGTGATGTGATGTGATTAGGAGACAATGTTTTGTTTCTTAATTAAAAAAGGTGAGAGAAAGAGGCGACAAAGAAACGAGAATCGAATACAACGAGGGGCGTCGAGCTGGTATTGTATGGGCATCATGGGTACTCAGACATGGATAACGAAGGAGTGAAAGAATCCGCAAATCGTGAAGAGGCTGGAAGTTTAGCGAAGAGAGAAACCCTTTCGCTTGCCTTCCTTCTCTAGTGGCCGTCCGCTCTCGACGCGCTGCTTCTTGTCCTCGAGCTCCAGTCGTTGGCGGTCGAGTTGCTCCTTCATCTCCTTGTGGCGGGCGTACAGTTCCTCTTCGGATTGCTTGAGCTTGCTCTCCTTCTCTGCTACCTTCTGTTGGAAGACCATCTTCATCTCGGCCTCCATCTTGGCTAGCTTCTGCTCGTGCAGGGCACGCTCCTCCTCCTGCTTGACAGCAGGGTTGACCTCCTTGAAAACACTGGGGTCTTGCGACACGCCCATGGCGAGCAGCTTGTCGGTACGGTAGTTCTCGTAGAGTTGATTGTTGGTGTGCTCCTTGAGCTCCTCCATGTGTGTTCGGATGAGCATTTGTCGAAGCTTGACAAAATCGCAGTGCTCCTCGTTATCGACCTCGATGATGCCCCAAGGGTAGGCACGACCGCGAATCTTGCGACCATCGGCGCTTGTGATCTCGTTGTTGGCACCAACAACGGCGAAGGGAACCTTGGACATAATCTCGTTGTTCTCAGCGATCGTCTCCTCATCATCAAGCTCGTATCGGGGCCCCTCAAAGATCTGGATGCCATGGTGCTTGATATCGGCGAGAATCTTGGTTGGTTAGTAATTGAACACAAGTTGGTAACCGAATAACTTACTCGTGACTTAAAGGCGGCAATCTCCTCGTCGGTAAGGGTATCAGCCTTGGCGATGACGGGGATCAGATTGACCTTGGTATGGAGTCGGCGCATGACCTCAATGTCAAGAGGCTTCAGGGAGTGGCCGGTGGGCTGGATAAAGAAGACACATGCGTGAATACGGTTGTCAACAATGTTCATGCGGTTAACCTTGTTCTCAGCATCCAAGTAAGAGTCGAATCGCTGCTCGATGTTGTCGACAATAGGGCGCCAGGACTCGTCGTTGTTGACGAAATCTCCGAAACCTGGTGTATCGACAACGGTCAGGCGGAGACGAACACCTGCCTCCTCAATGTCGGCACTGATGGACTGGATAGTAACAGTCTTGGGAATAATGTCGAGGCTGGGTCCCTTGCGCTCCTTGGGGGGGTACAGGGAGGTGTTGAACAGAGTGTTGACCAGAGTAGACTTGCCCAAGCCAGACTCACCTAGATCAGTGTTAGTCAGATCGTTTACATTTCAATCATCTTTGCACATACCAACAACCATCACGTTGAAGTTGAATCCCTTGCGAACACTCTTTCGGTGCCATTGGTTGGGTAGGTTGGCAAAACCAACATAGCCAGTAAGCTTTCTTCGGACAATGTTTCTGTTATCAGCCGGGGGAGGTGGCTGAGATGGAACTACATGACAGTCAGCACGGGAGCAGAAACATTCATGTAAAAGATCAGCCTACCATTAGCAGGCGAGGCAGAAGGGGCCAACGCCGGAGATTCGCTGCCGGGAGAAGCTATTAGGACACATGTTAGCATCCGATGCAATCACTGATATTGAATATTATGCTGTCAGAGGCAGAGACGCAAGGAGGAGCCTGACTCGGTGAATAATCCGAACTCGTGTTGCGACGATTTCCCCTGGTAGAAGCCTCGATTGTTAGATGGTCGCGGTTGGGCTTCACATTAGCTATCCGTTCATCTCCAGCTGGCCCACTTGTTGCAGAATAGAGATATAGTTCATCGAATGACATTGGCTTCATAGGGCTTAATGTCGGCGGATCCTGAATGTCCACGTCAAGCATACTGCGATAGTGGCGCACTGTCGAGGGTCGAGGGGAGGAAGGAGAAGATGGGGTTTTATCGTCTTGGCTCAATGGAAAACTAATAGTTCGCTTGGAATCCCGCGATGCCTTTGGCGATGATCCGGCGAGAGGTGTGGTTGCCATGAAGATGAGATTTCTGTCAAAATGCACGCTGCGAGTGCGAGCCTTGATGTGCTGTACCAAGTCGAATGTCATGATCGAATTTCAGGGGTTGGAAGTGCTGATTCTCAACGAGGAATGCTGTCAGGACCAAAAAGGGGGCTAAGAAGATAGACCCAAGAAAGTGTAGATGATTCAGAAACGAATGTCGTCGAGCTTATCGGAAATCGATGGTTGCACGGGATGAAGGTCAAAATTTTGTCGAGCTCTCGGAGAACAAATCATCCTCGTGGTCGAGTTCGGAGGCTCCTTCCGTGGTCTCTACATGTCGCTTGTGCCATGTGGTCTGACACGCGCGTGCATAAAAAGAAAGAATCATCTTACCCATATTGAATTATCAAGAACGGTCGAGTTGAAAAGGCTCGTAGGAAAGTGCGTGTTTCTAAGTTGAAAGTTGATGGTTAGCTACGTCAGGGGAAAGGCCAGCTAGCTACACGAGCTTGGTGGAGTGGTGTCGAGGGTGACAACGAGAAGGGCCAAACGACGGCTGAGAATCTCCGGGAAACAAGCGCAATGTGACGACAAGTGTACAGTCGAAGAGATATCGAGTTGATCGAGGGCGTTCCTTCTCGAAATCGTGGTCGGGCAGTAAGGAGTGGGACGAGGACAGCTACTCACGGAAATACCAGGAGACGCGTGTCAATGAGCGTCGCAACGAGTGAATACGAAGAATAGAAGGCGGCCTCGGGTTTATCAACACGGGACCTACTCTCACGCACGATAAAAGGCGATCGAGAGAAGAGTAGCAATGATGAGGCTAGAAACGGGGGGTAGGGAAAAAAAGAGAGAAAGTAAAGTGAAGGAGAAGGATGGGAAATTTTGGAGGTGACAAGCGGACCAAACAAGGAGACGAAATTCTGATGTGCTGTGCTGTTCTCCCAGCAGAGCAGCCTTTGGGCAGACAGCCGTGCTGCAGCAAAAGGGGTTTAAACGAGCTAGTCCAAGTTGAGGCCCGTGTGGGTCTCCCAACTTACATGATCCAGGGGCAAGCTCTGGAGATTTAGCGGACAGGGTCGCTGAGGGCCTACTGTCGAACCTCTAAGGGTGTTGCATGGGCGCTTATGATTGGTTCAAAGGACACGGGTCCAATTAACGGCGCGGGACAGGGGTAGTTGAATGGTAAGATGGGAGATTGGGGAGGGAGAGCTCTGGCTTCACCTCAAGCAAATTACTGCATCTTGGCTGTCGGCATATACCTGTATCATGTTGTAAGCGGCCATACAATTGACTCTCGATACAGCCTCTAGAGCCTCTATCTGAAGCTTGATATCATTTGAATTACCGGTGAGGGCCTACAAATGTCTGGATGTGGCCGGACCTCCTTACATCGCTCCATTCCCCAGGCAAGCTTGGAGCTCACCTGAGGTAGGTTGTTTCTAAAAGGGGAATGCTACTCTAAGTACCTGTTCCTAGCTCGCTTGTGCTTCAAGTATCGATAATCATTCTCATGCTGCAAGTTAGGTATTGATAGGGGTTATTCTCTCCTATTTGAAAGAATTGTTTGATAGTTAAGGTCGATTGCTTCTTTAATCTCTCCCATGTGTCATTTGTCTTTGATCTACAGTATTTTTTCCATTTCATGACCATTGGCTCCTTTCTAGCGGCATAGCCCAGAACATTCATAATTGGACTTTATCGGAGACAGATTCCAAGACATACGCAGATCAACCGTTTCTGGAAGAGGTCGGGGTATCTTCTCCCTTCTCTCGTGGCCAGAACGCTGGCCTGATATTGGATCACGGGATAACCATGTTCTGAACTATTTATTTGCTCCTCGTCCTACCGTGGTCATTTTAACATTGCCCACTCGCCGTCAAGTCCGGTTGCGCCTCAACCGCTCCCACGTCTGTGTTCTCGTTTATTAGTTTCCTTCCCTCGTCAAAACATCAAACATCCGGCCCATTCAAGCTGTTCCCTCTGTGGGTCCGGGATCAATTACCCTGTGTTCTAGCTTCTTCAATGACTGTATTGGGCTCACTCAGGTAACCCAACTTTTTTTCGTTCATGGAAGGGCATGTCAACCTATTTCTGGGTACCCATTCAATCAGCAGGTAAAATAATGATGAATTCTACAGGACTGGCATGTGCAGATACGTGAACCTAATAGGCTTCTGCATGTTGATATGCCAATCCTATAACTGTAAGACTGCATAAAGTTTGCAAGAGCATACTACATCTGCCCTACAAATAATTCTAATACCCAACGTATCTTGCGAAAATCATCTTGAGAATCCTGCACGCTACTACTTCCACGCCCTTCTCCTGCATGTACGACACGAACGTCTACACTCGTGTAGTTCAGGTTTTGTATAGAAAGGGATGTGAAAAGGAGGTACGCAACGTGTAATTGCATTCCAGGCAAATGTCCCTGGTCTGAAAGAAAAGTCATGTGAAGTAGTGTCGACCTGTAAAACATTTCGTGTTCAACACAGTTTTCAGACAATTACTCTAACGCAGTGCATGAAAGCTCTGGCAATATAGCTTAACTTAATATTGTATCGCTACATTCATAATTCCCTATGTCTATTCCAACTGTTTCTAAACTTAGATAATTGTTTTCTATAAGACGGCCCAGCACTTGATAGTTCAAACATCGGGAATATTATATCTGCAGTATTGCAATTATATCTGCTGTAGATACAGGCATAGTCACTGAGAGCGTACGAATAGCATCAAGCTTATTGTGTTATTATGAGCCGAGCAGTCTCTAAATGAGGCTGATTAAATGTCTGCTGAGATGTTGCCCTTCACGTAATTCTCTGCATGTTGTTCAGGAATATTGAGCATTGTTGTGTTGTTCACGTGCTTACTCAAGTTGTGGCTCTCGGGGGTGTCAGAAAACGTCTGACGTGAAGATCTGATTTTGTATGGTGAATGCGAATTCCCGCGTCAGATGTGTTTTGACACCCCGCGGGTGGCTCAATCTTTCTTCACCTCCAAGACCATAGGCACATCTCATGTGACCACAAAGCACACGAAGGCAGGGAATTGTCTCAGATTACTTGTTAAGTAGAGACTTAAAGGCACAAGGAGTAACAGTAGTTCTATATAAGGCTTTAGGCTTGCTTGTGATCAACAGATATACCAGTGTAGGGTAGGAGAGTTGGCTTCAAGTTCAACTTTATCGACGAAAGTTGGTAACATCCAATGTTAGGATTCGAGGATTTATCACATATGATGGTACAGCACTGTAAAGGATAGGCAGAAAAAGATAAGACATGTAAACTGTTATTTTTACGAGTAGAATATTGTATCTATACACCCCACACTGTCTTCTAAATGTCAAATAAGCACTGAACCCTTCAGTGCTTGTTTTAATTAAGATACACGCCACATTTTCGCTTCTAGTAAAGGTATAGTACACTGGTGGGAAGAGCTGCCCATATTTTGACGGCTCAAATTTATAGCATGATCAAATCATCTCACTCATCTTAAGCGAGGCCAGCCTGCTGGCTCGCAAAGAATCGTTTCGATTCAGCACATCTCTCGCTCTTACACCCAGGGCATCGAAGACCCATCTGCTTAGAGCAAGCCTGACCTGCTGCCAGGTGCGCCTTGGCAATGTCGGCGAGAGCTTGGATAAAGACAGGACTTCCGTTGAGAGACTCAACTCGCTTGACAGTTTCGGGGTGACCACTGTCGCCGATGACTTCCTGATCCAACTCATATAGAGTTTCGATATGGTCGGATGTGAAAGCGATAGGGATGAGCACGAGATCCTTCTGACCCTTGGATATGTAGTGCTCCACGCTGTCCGAGGTCTGAGGCCCCAACCAGGCCGACGGGCCGACCTGAGACTGCCAGCACAGTCGGTAAGGGTTGGAGAAACCGAGGCGCTGCATGACAGCGTAGACAGTGGCCGCAACTTCAGCAGGGTAAGGATCACCTTTATCATGTTAGTATCTGTTACGAATATACGTGACGAAGCAACAAACCTCGGTTAACGACAGACATGGGCAGACTATGCGCAGAGAAGAGCAGCACAGCATCCTTTCTTCGCTCCTCAGGGTATTCCGCAAGCTTGGCCTCGATGTTTTGGGCAAAAGCCTCGACCAATCCACTGTGGTTAGGCCAACGGTCGATTACACTCCAGGTAATGGTACCGTCACCAGACTCCTTGTTGGTCTTGCCTTCAAGTCGGTGCCTCCACTTCCATAGCTCGTTCAAGCTGCTACCTGTTGTCGAGCAAGAGTACTGAGGATATTGTGTGAATGCGACGGCGCGGCCACCTTTTCCATTTCCAAAGCCGTCCTTCAACAGCTGCTCGTACATTTCCTCGGTTAATGGGTCCGCGTATCGGAAAGCGACGTAGGGCTTGTGAGGCGCAGTCTCGGGAGAGATCTTGTCCAAGATCTTACACATCTCGGCGTTTTGGTATTCAGACCACTTTCGAATTGGTGATCCTCCACCGATGGCCGAGTATTGCTTGATGATCTTGGGTGTTCGCCGCTTCGAAATCAATGGACCGAGATAGTTTTGTAGAGGGCCAAGAGGAATTAGATCGCCGTCGGCCTGTGGTGGTTGTTAATATACATGATTCGGGAGCCTCGGTGTTTCGTTAATGACTTACAAAAAGGCGGCTCAAAAAGTCACCAACCTCATCGGTAGTCGATGGTCCCCCCATGTTGAGGAAGACCATAGCCGTAGGGCCCTTTGATCCAGTAGCATCTTGAGTGACAGGATGGACGGGAGTGGCCAGATATCGCTTCTGAGTAGCGATCTGGGGTAGCGCAAGTCGATGCGTACTGGCCTGTGAAATGCTCTTGCAGAGCTGGCCTCCGGATCTTCGCAGAGCCATTGTCGATGAACTGTCACTGACTTCAAGAGACAAGGCGTGGAAGGGACAAGAAAATCCAATTTATTGATCAATTGGAAGTGGTGCGAGGTTTGGAATCATAAAACAGCTGAGGGGTGTAAAGAAATCTTATGTTACGTACATGCAACTAGTGCCGACGGCGATGATGCACGCATCTCCATGGGCTCCGGGATCGCCTACAACGCATCATATCGGGATTTGGCCCAGGCTTGGCTGCTAGGAGTGACTTACTTGCCCCGCGGAGCTTCCGTGGTGCGAGAGGTACTACTGAACAGGACATCGCCAACCAATCACACAATTGGTAATCGCTCAGAACAGTTCACGTGAGCTCGCGACAGGCAGCGCGTCGACCCTTGTCATCAGCTCGCGTTTGCCTAAAGCTATTGCCCACTAGCATGAGATCACTCACTAGCTCTTAAAGTCAAGCTGACCCTGGGATGAGATTGATCGGTTTTCACTAAAAACAACAGACATCAATCGCATCAATCATGGCTGATAAACAGAATTGGCGAAAAGAAGACGAAGATGAGGAGGAGCAAGAACTTGATGAGAACGTGAGTTGATCGAACATTGGTACTCACCCCAACTCCATATTGATCCACCCATAGAACTATAAGGCACAGAAAGATGCCATCTTGCTTGCAATCGATGTTAGCAAATCTATGTTAGAGCCACCGCCGCCTTCGGACTCCAAAAAGGCAGATCGTGACAGCCCTGTCCAGGCGGCCTTAAAATGCGCCTATCATCTCATGGAACAACGCATCATCTCTAATCCCAAGGACATGATGGGTATTCTTCTCTTTGGAACGAAGAAATCAAAATTCCAGGACTCTGTAGATGGTCGAAGTGGTCTAGGTTACCCTCATTGTTACCTATTCACTGATCTCGACGTGCCCGCGGCAGAAGATGTGAAGGTCCTCAAAGCCCTGGTCGAAGATGGCGAGGACGAAGATGAGGTACTGACACCTTCGGATGAGCCTGTCAGCATGTCGAATGTGCTATTCTGCGCGAACCAGATCTTCACAACAAAGGCTGCGAACTTTGGCAGTCGTCGTTTGTTTATAGTAACTGACAACGACAATCCCCACGCCTCTGACAAACAGGCCAAGTCCGCTGCAGCGGTACGAGCCAAGGATCTGTACGACCTTGGGATCCTGATAGATCTATTCCCTATCACCCGTGGAGACGAGAAATTCGACCTCAACAAGTTTTATGATGTAAGAATCGGTTCGAAGATAACAGGGAACCAGCTAACACGCAAAGGATATTATCTATCGTGACCCTGTTGGAGAGGCGAACATGACAGAAGTCCGAACATCGAAATCTGGAGACGGACTGACATTACTCAACTCGCTCATCTCAAATGTCAATTCCAAACAAACTGCAAAGAGAGCCCTGTTCTCAAATTTGCCATTCGAGATTGCTCCTGGGCTACGCATCTCAGTGAAGGGGTATAACATTGTTCATCGTCAAACACCAGCACGCACTTGTTACATTTGGCTGGACGGTGAAAAGCCGCAAATTGCTACAGGTGAAACTACACGAATCGCGGAGGATAGCGCCAGGACCGTTGAAAAAGCAGAGATAAAGAAGGCGTACAAGTTTGGCGGCGAATACGTTTACTTCTCCCCAGACGAACAGAAGTCATTGAAGGATTTCGGATCACCCATCATTCGTATCATCGGCTTCAAACAGCGCAGTCTGCTCCCCGTTTGGGCAAGCACCAAGAAGTCTACATTCATCTTCCCCAGCGAAGAAGATTATGTTGGTTCGACCAGGGTTTTCACAGCGCTTTGGCAGAAACTTCTCAAGGATCACAAAATGGGTGTCGCTTGGTGTATCACTCGTGCTAATGCGCAGCCAATGTTGGCCGCCATCATACCGTCTAGAGAGCGGTCTGATGCTGACTCGGGAACGCCGTATCTGCCTGCTGGACTTTGGATCTATCCTCTACCATTCCAGGATGACCTGCGAAATATCAACCCACCAAGTGAAGTGCTGCGAAGTTCTGGAGAACTTACGACGCAGATGCGAACTATCATTCAGCAACTCCAGCTGCCAAAGGCTATGTACGATCCATTGAAATACCCCAATCCCGCGTTGCAGTGGCATTACAGAATCCTTCAAGCTCTTGCTTTGGAGGAAGAGGTACCCGAGAAGGCAGACGATGCAACGGAGCCAAAATACAAAGCGATCAGCAAACGAGCAGGCGGCTACTTGGAAGAATGGTCTAAATCTCTAGAAGAAGAGTCCGGTAAAGTTGCGAACAAGAAATCGACAAAGCGTGAAACGGACGATGAAGACATGGATAGGCCGGTGAAGAAATCGAGAGGTTCATCAGAGAAAGCAACTGGTTCTTCCTTCAGTATGGCTCAATTGAAGGCCGCAATCGAAGGTGGGACTATTCAAAAAATGACGGTAGTTCAGCTCAAAGATATACTGGCTACTAAGGGTATGAGTACTGCTGGACGAAAGGTTGAATTGATCGAGAGAATCGAGCAATGGATAGAGGAAAGTTCATGAGACTGAGGTCGAAGGGCACAATAGAGTGCATTGTCTGTGCTTTATATGAAGAATGGGTGGCCGGCGGAACAGGCGTTTTTGCTACTTTGTAAGGACATTGTTTATCAAGCTGCGAGCACTTGATCGTATTGAATCAAAATACTGAGGAGAATGGCCCCGCTCATTTGTTCCTTATTGTGATTGTGATTAAATGCTTTTTTTCATGGAAGCTTTCGAAGCCGTCGAAGCTTTCGCAACCACTTCCATTTCATCACATTCACCAAAGCTTCTTTTGCTCGACAGCAACATCACAAGTTGAACATCCTGACAAGCGAATCATAAAAACTGCCATAGTTGATTTCTATTCACTTTGATCTGAGTATCTCCTTGAAATATTCCAATATGAAATATGGCGACTGCAGGCGGGAGGATAGATTCATCCTCTATACTGACACCCCCTTCAGCACCCGTTAGTGGCTCTCAGTGGCAAGGCGCTCAACTCACACCCACTAAACTTCAGCTAAACACTCCCCGGCCCCTTACCTCATCTATCGAATCCGTAGCTCCACCATCACCTACCTGCGCGTTCGTGAGCCCGCAAACGCCAGGACAGCGTCACCCCAACATCCCATGGGCAACACTTGTCGCCTCATCACCTCAGAAGGAGCCAGGCGCTGACGAGTATAACTCAAGGCTATTGCGCCTGGCGCGGCGCCGGCCAACTTGCGAGCAACGAAAGACCATGGTCGATTTCCTCGCAAGCCTTGGTCTTGGCGGCGCGCAGACACCCGCAGCGTCAAGTAACTCGCAATGCGATTCGGTCGAGGAGCTCCAGCTCAAACTACGAAGCATTCTAGATGCCAAGGCGACACCGACACGGGCCGAAAATGTGGCTTTGACAATCGAATTGAGAGCCACGGTACGATTTCAGTTGCCTGTGTCCGAATCGGAGAATGGGACACTCGAGAGCCTAAACAACATCGATCCGTCACTGGGAGGAGCGCAATCTATAGGAATGAATGGCAATCGGGATGAAGGACAGCTATCGCGCGTGGTATTTGCCAATGACACGCTCATGAACCAGCCACAAGACGACCCGACGCTCCAACGGTCTGTCGCAAAACATATCATTTCAATAATCAGCTCAACCGATGGGAGTACCTGGACCGTTCGAGAGGTGTCGCGCGTTACACAGGGTTGGACTTTTACGTATTTGTGCAAGGACTCGTATCAGCAATGGACTCGACAGAATGCGAAGAATCCAACGAAAACAATAGTAGGAGAGTTCAGTCAGAGAGAGCCTGACCCAGTTCTGCATGGTAAGTTCAGAGCGCCAGCCAAAATTGCTTCACTGGCTGACAATGAGATAGCTCGGCCTGCTTTTGACTGTCGAGGATCTATCACGATTGCCTTTAACCGTGGCAGTCGCTCCATCAATGTAAAATACAACCATACACCTTTGCACAAAACAGTTGCAGAGCTAGCCGCCCACTTCAAGCCTGCTCCTCGTCAACTGGGACCAGGCGCGCAGAGACTCCTGGAACAGCAGCAGAAGGCTAAGGAGAAGACGCCGAGGAAATCTAGAGGTGAGAAGAAAGACAAGAAGGAGCGAAAGAAGCGGGATTCTACTATAAAGGCGCAAGATGAGAATGGTAATCCCCGGAAACGAAAGAAGAAAAACAACGGAACATCTCAACCAGCGGACTCAGTAGACGGACCGATAATCCCCCCAGATTGTCCTGGGGCACCAGCAATCGATGGGCAAAATCAAGGGGGTCCATCGTATATGAACGGAGGAGAAGCGTCGGGCAACCCTGGGCAGCAAGGATTCAACGATTATCCTCAAGGGTTGATGGGGGGCGCATCGGCAACGACGAATGGAACTTCGTCTCAGCAGGCGAACGGCCAGCTGGCTTCAGTTGCTTTCCCAGTTAATGTCTCAGCAGCTGAGGCAGCACGCCGAAAAGAGGCAGCCACGACAATGCTCAGCAACGCTGGTGTCGATCCCACCACATTGTCTCCTGAGCAGTTTGGTATCTTCGCCAACCAAGCACCAGAGTTGCAGCGCGAGTCACTGAACATGCTTGTCAAATATGGTGCAGAACGGCTCCGTATTGTCCATCCCGGTAACAAGGAAGGCTCAACACAGGCAAGCTCTTCAACACAGAGCAGCCAGACAACTTCAACTGGACCTAGAACTACCAAAGAGCTAGTGCCACAGTCAAGTGCTCAGAGCAACGCGAACACAGATACTGAGACAGCAGTAGCTCAGGCTGCTGACGACACTTCCGCTCCTAAGCGTAAGAGGAAGAAGATGGGCAAGTCGAGAACAGCTTGTTTCCCCTGTAAGGCACGGAAGGCAAAGGTAAATGCCTCTCAAACTAATCAAATGCTGCTGAACTAATATAAAATAGTGCCCAAGGGAGAGACCAATCTGCACCGAATGTGCAGATCATGGGACTGCATGTGAATATGCGCCACAGAAACCAAGAAATAAGGCAACGAAGCCCAAGAAGTCTGAGGCTTTCGTTGTTGATGATGACAAAGACGATGGCGATGAGGAAGATGAAGAGGTTGAATCGCAGGAAGATGCTGAGGCAGAAGGTTCCGGACAGGAAGATGACGAACAACAAGACACTTCACAGGACTACTCATACCCTCAGATGAATATCGGAAACATGGTCACCAACACTGATGCAACAACTCAAGATACCCACTCCACACAAAACAATTACTATCAGCCTGCGTCCGGCCTAGTTCTTCCTCAGCCAGACCCTAACTCGACCAGCTCTCAAGCAATGAGCACATCAGTATCGCAGAGAGGCAACTACTCTCATAACCTGCCAGAAGTGACACAACCCATGGTCCACCCAGCCCCTCCTATCCCAGCTCCTGCTGGTACGATCGCTCCCTCTGAAACAAGGCGATGGACCGCCTTTGGTAGTGGTAGTGTTGGTGGAAGTAACACCACCAGCAAGACACGAAGAAGTCTTCCGTCCGAGCCCAGCCATACGAATGCGCAAAACATGCCTGCAAACCCACAGCCATCAGACTGGGCTCAAACTTCCAACGCGACTATGCCTGCAACAACAATGGCATCGGTCTCTCCGCAGATGACATACGACACACGCTCAAGCGGGAGAACTCGACAGAAGAACCAGAGCCTAACGAATGATACTTCCCAACAAGCTGCAGCAGTGTCCAACACGGCCATGCAGCAGGCTCAGGCACGTCAATCGCCCGTCGCTGCAGCAGCCATGATGGCACAGACCCGCAAATCCCCTTATCAACAAGCTGCGGTTCCTCGCACGACTTCTAGAACAAGCCAGCGAAACCAGTCTCGCACACCTGTAACTGACCAGGCACGAGGTTACCAGCCTCCTTCCAACATGGCTCAGCAGCAAAATCCACTAGGCAGCACTCATTATGATACATCACGCATATCCAGTGGTTCTGGCTATAATGATAATGGGCGTTACAGCAGCACTAGCACCAGCGGAAGCCACCAACCACCGACCACCATGAGCACATCTTATCAGACTACTTCTTCCACAGCAAACCAGTGGTCTAATTCTTCGAGTCGAAACGATCGCTCATATGGCACCAGCCCATCATATCAAACACCTAATATTCACGCACAGACAACAGCGTCCAAGCCAACGGCGTCCAAGCCAACGGCGGCATCCCGTCAGAACTTTAATATGCGTTCAAACACACAACAGCATATTCGTGCTAGCAGTGGCTCATACAACCAGCAGCAGCCACAACAGCAACAGCAGGGTTATGCATCATACTCTGGGTCTACACACCAGAGCCAACAGGGTCAGACATCAAACCAGCAACAGCCGTCTAGCTGGTACTTCCAAAACTCGCACAACCCTTCTATTCATCCTGGGGGCCAGTCATCTGGCTATAACTATGAGCCATGGTCAGGCGTTTAGGAGCCAGAGTAGTCAAATGCACACATCTATTCATCTATGGCTTATGATTGGGGCAGAAATTGCTATGGATGGGTTTAGCGAATCAGTTTATTTAGCGCAATGATCATGGTATAAACAGGAATCAAGTTAAGGCACTCATGCCTGGAGATACGCAGCAATGTCAGACAATTGAGAATCGCGGGTTATAGCATTTTCTTCTTCTTTTCACCTGATGGATGTGATCGTATATTTGAAGCATCACATTGCTTAAATCATTATTAGGTGCTATTCAACTGATCATTAACCTTGACTTGTGTGTATTCCTCTCGAGTTCCGCCAAATTCCATGGTATTTCCATCACATTAATTTCCAGTCGTTCGTCCAGTCATACAAAGTATCCCCGTAAGGTATTCAGATGGGTTGTCCGTCTTTGGATATGTGCTACTCATCTACTCAACATGGTCTGAAATAGCAAACTTGCTGAGAGATCGCAGCTTGCCACCGTAAAAGTACAGCAGCCAGATACCAATGATACCGATAACACTCAGACCACCAAGAAGACTGGTACCCTTAGCAACACCGAGATTGTCGAATAAGGGCTGGGCAAAGAGAACACTGCCACAAGCAAGAGCACTTCGGAAGAAGTCATTCGCCGCAAAGAGACTGGCAGCATACATTGGGTAGCTGAGAGGAATGTACACAAAGATACACTGCATGACAATGAAGACTGTAGCTCCGTAGATGGTGATGCCAATGGTGGGCACGATCCAGTGGATAGAGGCCCGAGCTGTCCAGGCAAAGAGGAACAAGCCAATAGTAGGACCAAGGGCGGCAGGAAGAGCTGGAACGAGACGACTTTCTTGGATGGGCCAACCACGCTTAGCGATGCGGGGGTCCATGTAGAAGTAGAGGTAGGAGACGTAGAGGCCTACGCCAATCATACAAGAGACGAGAACGCAGAGGAAGACGAGACCGATTTGACCAAGGTTCATGTTGTAGTAGACTGGGTAGACACGGGGGAAAACCTCGAAGACTAAGAAGAGTAAGTTATCTGAGTTACTAACGATATGGTGGAGCAAACTTACATGAATAGTAGATACCATAGATAATGGCAGTGTAGACCTGCACGAACAGCACGGCAGGATCCTTGATGGTGATCTCCATGGGCTTAATGAGGGCATCAACTGCAATAGCAGAAACCTTCATATGACGCTGGTCGATCTCACTCTGCGACATGAAACGTTGGTTACCAGTGAGCTTTCGAAGACGCTCTGCGCGGCGGAGGAGGATGTTGGCACCGCTGGTCTCGGGGAGCAGAAGGAACATGAGGATGAAGATAGGGGCCGACGCCCAGATACTCTCGTAAAGAGACCATCGCCAGTTCTTTGCGGGGACGGCGAAACCGCTGATCAGAGGACCAAGAGCAGCTAGATGTGTTAGTTGAAAGCAAGAGACAGTGAGAGGAAAAGAGACTTACGACCACAGTAAGCAGCCGAGACCCACGCCATCATAGCATAGGGGAGAGCCATGAGACTGTAAATATCTCCCAGTGAAGCGCCACCAGAAGCCAAACAAGGCGAGCCGAAGAAGCCTTGAAGGAATCGAAGAACCATGAGACCGGGATAGTTGTTCACTAGTGCCGTAGGAATAGAGATGATAACAAATAGAAACATCGTGACAATGTAAACGGGGTTTCGGCCAATGCGAGGAATCTCACTCAGGGGTGAAAAAATCAGAGGACCAATACCATAACCCAAAACATATAGTGAAAGACCAAGGGTAGCTTTGAGTTGACTAACTCCAAAAGCGTGCATGACACCTTCAGTTGAGGAAGTATAGATCGCAGAGGATGTATAAACGACGAAGGTGTACAGACAGATGATGAGAGAGACACCTAGGCGGCGGTTGTTGGTCCAGTTATGAGGATTCTCGTTATCATCGCTGAAGTACCAATCGACGAGGATAGAACCATCCTTTGTCCGCTTAGGAACGACAGGGATAGACTTGACCTTCTCGACATCGTGCTCTTCATCGGCTTCGAGCCTGTCGACAGTGTAGGCTTGTGTTTCTTGGGGAGATCGCGAGCGGTGGAGTCTCATGGGCTGAGGATCAGCACGTTCGATGTCGTCGTTCTCGTTGGTCTTCTCGCTCTTCTCGTTCTTCTCATTCTCAGCCTTGAGCTTGGGATCTTCCTCTGCCGCAACAGTAGATGAGGCTGAGGATGCGAGAGCTGTACCAGTGAGGACTGTGTTGTCGTGGGGAGAAGACTCTTCGATGATAGCATCGGGGTTGTTGATCACTGCAACCCAGGACTCTGGGAGCTTGAAGTCGGGCTTTTCTTCTGGGTACTGGAGATATTTGTTGCGAGTGACGAAGCGGATGAGTTGCCCCAAGGGAGCATCTCTGATAAGGTCTGACATATTGATGTATATCTTCTTATCGAGATAACTGTATCAGAAGGAGACAAGAGGAGGCTATCAAGTGGGAAGGGTTCTCTTTAAGCTTATTGTGCTAACTGAGATCTGGAGTTCAAATATCGTGAGGTATGCACTCGTCTTATACTCATATTCTCACCCACTCGCCTGCTCCTCTGCAAGCTCTTACACCACGGAGCTTAGCAATCCGGAGTTAGTCACCCATCATGCTGTAATGCAATCTTAGCCCTTCCACATGTCTTTGACATGGTCCATACGAGCAAGTATAACTCTGTAAGCCACTTTCGGACTAACATGCCTGACGTTATTACCAATCCCTGCTCGGTGCTCGGCCTACTTTATTATCCTAGAGGTGATCAACAAGCTGCAGGTTTTGGAATAGTCTGGACCTAAGCGGAGTTTAGGGCTGACATTTAGGATTGAAGGGTGATTAGTGTTTATCACCGGGGTGAGGTTTTGCTTATCTGCGTGAGCACTTACACTGTAATACTGTATGAATTTTCACCTTAGCCTGTGGGTCTATTGCGAATTGAGTCGGTTTTCTTACGTTTGAGTTAGTCGAATGTACACGGTAGTTGAGTTTGTCTACAGTGAGGTTGATGACCATCTGGAGACCGAATTCATATGTCGTCATTGAGACCCGGATGCTCGGCTGCCTTTTTCTTAGACCATTGTTGATCTGTGAGCACCAACACGACGATATACGCATCTTAGCCGCTTACTCTGTCTTTCATCTCTGGATCTCAGCCTATATCTCATTGTCTCTCGCCCTTACGCATGTCTCTCACCTCAGCGGTAAGCTCCAAGAGCCCGCCAGCTCATAGCAGGCCCAGCAAATAAAAAAAAACTAAAACACATCTTGAACCCCAGAGATCAGCACTAATGACCTAAATGGGTGAGACCCTCCGCCATCTGCCGTCAAAAGCTTAGCAATCGTCCCGGGGACGTGGTGCCAAGATGACCCAATCATAAGCTTGAAGGCCCCTGGATTAATCACCCTCGGTGTGACGTCTCCCCGGTCGAGGAGCCTCAATTTTCCTTGGATGCCGAGACTCTGCGGAATATTAATCACGACGGACCAACTCCGAATTAAATATAGTTGCTTTCAAACGGAGATTGAATCTGTGTATACCATTTCATGTGGCTCACTGAACTCGTCCTTTTTTCGGCCGAACAGTGAAATCTCTTCTTATATACCCCAACGATATCTGAGTCCTTCACACCATAACAGCCAACAGCTTTCCCGGGGCTGGTAGGACCTTATATCTCACTGACTGAGACCCAAACGCCCCAACTACTCAACGATCGGCGCCCGCTCCCCAGTCTGATAAGAATCATGCTCAAGCTAAAATACAAATACACCGGATAGCCCGGGACCTTGCTTACTGTAATGACACTTCAAGGCCAGACATGAAAGCTAAGAGGTCGCATTATTATGTTCGTCACGTCATTGACGCTCACGCACAACAGCTGGCCTGCTTGACGATAAGCTCAGATACGCACAGTAGCTAGTTAATAGGTTCAACATTGCCCAATGCTGACCCTGAAGTGCAACCAGAAACTGGATACGATAATGTCACGTAATAGTCTCTTTCAGGCGCACTCCCGGCCCTAGAGTCTCATTCTTGAGCTGATGTTTATTGATTTATGCAGCATAGCATCTTATCAACTGCTCGCTCTCTTCTGAATGCGCCGTCGTTGAAGCTCCTTTCGTACCATCATAGCTGGCGCGTCGTGGCCTTGGTCTAATAGGTCGACAACCTTCCACACCCCAGGGTGCTCTGCGTCAAGGGCCAGCTTGATGAATGGCTCAACCCAATTTGCAGACCTCCAGGCAGGGTAATCAAGCGCTGCATTCTTGGCATAGTCAATGAACTTGAATGCCAGCTCAAAATCGCCTATCTGTGCGCAGGCTGGGATTATCACGTCAAAGGCAGGGCCCGCTTCGACTTGATCCATCCACGTCTTGGGAACCGTGGCATCGTCATTGCCTTGATCGTTTTCAGAATTCTTCTTCCCTATTGACACCGAGGTGGTGTCAATCTTGGCAAGTTCGGAATTGTAAGCCACTGCAAGGTCATACTGCGTCGCTGTTTGGCTGGCATGACGAAGGAGAAGTCCAATATCCGACAATCGGGGACTTTTCCCGGTGAGGAGGTGCATGTCATTGAACAGGTGCATAGCAGCTTCTGAAGTTCGGGTTCGAGCCAGAGCCTCGATCGTAACCATAAGGACTTCCCGAGGAACAGGCCCCTCTTTGCGCATGCTTTGAATAGCAGCCTCAGCTTCGCTAATAAGATTCCGGTTCTTGAGTAAAGCCCGTAGAACGGGCAGTGTGGTTCCTCGAAGAAGGACGCGCCCATTGTGTTGTTGCAGATTCAAAAGCGTAAGCGCACCCGTCACATCCCCCGAATTAGCGAACGCTTCCACGATAGCATCATTATGCTGCTGGCGAGGCTTACCACGAATCGCCAGCTTCTGAAGAGCTTGACTGGCGAGTTCAGTGTCGCCGTGCCTGGCTCCAGTGGCCAGAACGTTCTCAATAATACCATTGGAAGGGCTGTGGATTGGGGTATTGACAACATCTCGCCATACGAAAGTTGTTCCTCCATGGTGGAAGCCCTGGCTGAACATGTCCAAGGCCATCAGCTGGATACTTCTGAAAGCACTGTCGGAGCCACGAGCAAACTTTCGCTTCTTAAGGATGTGAAGCATTTCATCAAAGAAATCTTCTCTACCAAACTCCAGAATAAAAATATCATAGACCCAAAGATCCACATGCCCTGGGTCTTCTAAAAGCTGGTCGAACTTATTCAAGGCCAATTCAAACTGGCCTTCTCGTAACATCGCCACGGCAATACTTTGCTTGGCAGGCATCGTGAATTCGAACCAGTGCTGCTCCATTGTCTGCACAACTTCTTGCCGCAGGATATAATCTGGGTGTACGCTGAGAGCCTCGAGAGCGAGGTAGCAAACATCCGCAGTAAGCGGAACATTTTGAAAGCTCATGTCATCCAATAATTTGCGAACTCCGGTGCTAGACCCCTGTGGGTCAGCCATAGCAGCCATCAGGCTCTCATAGATCAAAGCATCGGGGGGATACTTCCGGTTTCTGAGAAGATATCTAACGATATTCAGGATCCTCAAATACCTGTTGGTAGGGAGGTCAGAATTGCCTTTTTGTCGTGGCATCCGTAACCGTCTGAGGGCGTCAACCATCACTGGCACTGATACGGTGTTCAAGTCTGGCAACACTTTAGCCAGGGCTGGGTTTCGGCCTTCTAGCTTGGCTTGTTGGTCAACATGTTGCCCCGTCTCTATACTCTTTTGTTGAGCTTGCCCGTGCTCATATTCTTGAAAAAATGCACTTAATGATCCCGTCCTCTCTTCAGAGCCCAAAGACATGGCCTGGTCAAGTTCATCATGAAATGAACCCAATAAGTTATCATTGTCGAGAAAATCTGTGCTTTTTTGGTCCTTGGCTATGTCGGTCCCATATTGGCGATTCTGAACTGTTTTTAGATATAGAGGCCATCGTCCCGACCCTGCTGAGCTCAGGGTTTTTAGTGAAGGAGGCCTATAAGTTGCTTGGCAAAGACAGCGTCGTAGACCATTATACACCAATCGTGGACAAGGCATTCTCACCGTACGATTATGTTGCCAATGTCGATGCTGAGAAATGGATCCTGCCGATAATCGAATGAATTCTGTACCTTGCATACAACTAAGGTGGCGGGCCTCCCCCCCTAAGGTATATGTGCAACGACCACTATCGCTAACGGGGCTATGCATTCTGCGAGGCGTTAGCCGCTCACAGCCGCTCTCACCTTGGGTCTCACCGAACAGCCGCGCTCCACTGAGCTTTGTTCCATTCTCAACGTTGCGTTTCCAGCACGCGCATCATAAACCACATAGTTACGACGCAACGAATGAGACCATGGTATGCTGGAATTCCCTTTAACCCCCGATAGTCACTGTTTACTGTCCTGATTACCTCGGCGCACAATGCTAGCATAGCAATAGCTGACGGCGAATAGCTACCCCTCGGACTACTCAATGCGGCCCAGGGCCACCCCATGCTCGTTGAGCTGAAGAACGGCGAGACACTCAACGGACATCTGGTTTCGTGCGATACATGGATGAACCTCACACTCAAGGAGGTGGTGCAGACAAGTCCGGTATGCGCCCGCAGTCATGAACGCGATACCTTCGAACAGGATATACTGACGGGTTGAGTACAGGAGGGCGATCGATTTGTCCGGTTACCAGAGGTCTATGTCAAGGGAAACAATGTACGTTTCAAGTGTGCCATGGAGTATTTATCCAGAAAGGGAGACTGATGTGCAGCAGATCAAATACTTGAGAGTACCCGACGAGATCATCGACCAGGTTAGCGAATCACAGAAGGGCCAGCAGGGCGGTTTCCGAGGCGGAAGAGGAGGACAGTCAAGGGGAGATCACAGCGGTCGTGGTGATCGCGGACGTGGTCGTGGTGGAAGAGGCCGAGGCCGAGGTCGAGGTCAATGAGACAATTACATGGTTAACGATGATATCTACACGTTGAACCAACGGTCCTAGATTTCACAACACCTCACGACAAGGCATAGTGGAGTCTATGATACCAAAGAGAAGAGGACTGCGAAGATCCTCTGGTATCACCACATGGACATCTGAACTACCAGCTTGGTTGCGGCCCTATTGGTGGGCTGTAGAAGCTCAGGATGAGCTCTAAACAAGCTGGGAAGAAGAATCCGGTCCATGTACCAACAATTAATGACATATGTCTTCAAGTCAGCACGGGACAGATTTCTATTTTTAGTGTTGTGTGCGCGCGCGTTTAAGTGCAGTACGTTGGCTAAGCAAATACTATTGCACATGATCCGTCATGAATTCAAAGCTATTAAAGAATTCTCGTCCACTCCCCTGGATTGAGTACTAGCTGACCACAACTCAAATCCCTGGCCTTAGTTCGTGGTTACAGAAACTGGTTACATCGTCCATGGATATCACAACAGGGGCCCGTGGGTAACTTTAAAAATGTCTATTCCATGCATAAAATTGTTTTACCCAGCGCAGTCTACGCCAAGTTCTATCAACACCATAGGCCCAGTATGAACTGTAGCCGGCAACATATATCATCAAAACAGTCAGGCATCATATCGAAACATCGTTCATCAAACGCCCATTACAAAGTCCAAAGTAAACCCGTACAAACCATCCTTCTCATTGTATGCACTTAAAAGTTGGCAACAGCCACAGCGATAGCCTGGCTATCAGAGTGTGAGATGGACAATGTGATATCCTTCACACCGGCCTTCTTGGCGGCGGCAGCAGCCTCACCATGAAGCTATAAATGTTAGCATCTTGCATATTTGACTTGAATACAGGGTTACTTACAGAAACAGCGGGGGCACCGTTCTCTCCCTTGACAATCTCAATGTCCTTCATAGCGGCACCAGCGCCTTGACTGGCGACGCCGAGAGACTTGAAGACAGCCTCCTTGGCACTCCAGCGGCCAGCGAAAGAGCTCTGGGGGCTGGGAGCTTGGCGGCAGTAGGAGATCTCGTTAGCGGTAAAGTTACGCTCGACGAAAGTGTCGTTGTCGATGTTGACAGCAGCAATGTCTTCAACATCAACGCCAACCTGGCTGTTCTTGTTTGTGACCTTGAGGGCCAGAGCTTCCATGACTTGCTCGGTCTCCTTAGCCTTGGCTGATGAAACAACCTTCTCTGACTTCTTCATGAAGTCAGGGGCATACTTGAGCTCAGATGACTTCTTGTCCTCGGAGACACGAGCGTCAGGGTTAAGAAGAACCTTGCTGAGCTGGTCATCAGAGTAAGGAGAGTTGTTCTTGGCGACGAACAGCTTGTTGTTGATGAAGCCATCGTGGAAGTATCGGTAGGCCTTCTTCTGGCGAGCATCGACCTTGGCGCAGTATTCGGCGTAGGTCTTCTCATCAAGAGTAGCGAACAGGTACTTGGGGTGGACACCAATGGCCTGAGCACCCTTCTGTCCGAAACCGAAAGAGGTAACGGAGAAGGCCTTGACACCGTCGGTCTGGATGCTGCGGCTGGGGTAGACGATGAGGTCGTACTGCTCCATAACAGGATCAACGTTATCCGCGTTGCGGTTACCAGGAACAAGACCGGTGTCGAGGACCTGGAGACAACCGTTCATCATCCAAGCACCAGCAGCACCCTTCGGGTGACCAGTGAGGTACTTCTGGAAGATACCCAAGACAGCGTTGCCCTTCTTGCGGCCAAGGTGGCGAAGTTGCTGGCAGATGACACTGGACTCGTTCTTATCGTTGGCCTTGGTAGAGGTTCCGTGGAACGAGGCAACACCGATATCGTCGACAGTGAGACCCCATGTGGCGAGGGCACCGCGCAGAGGGGCGATGCTAGGATCGCTCTTCCAGAAGTTGTTGCCCATGCTGCGGAGAAGCTCCTTCTCCTGTCGGGCAGCTTCCTTCTCAATGTGGGCGAAACGGTCCGCGGCATACTCCTTCTCGTCAAAGGAAGCACCCTGAGCCTTCATGGCATCAATCTCGTCATGAACATACTCAAGCTCAGACTCTTGCCATTGCTTGATAGTCTTCTTGCGACGCTCGATTTGGCGGCGTCGGTAGTTGATGTCGAGAAGAGGCGAAGGGAACTTGCCAGGGTTCTCGCGAGCTGTGGTGAGAACACCCTGGCCTGGAGCGGGAACGGAACGGCCAATCTTGTCAGAAGCAGTGGTGGTCAGGGCAACGATACCGTGGATGGGGACACCCATGTCAAGAGCAAGCTTGGCAGTCATGATGACCTGGATACCGCAACCCTGAGACTCCATGAATCCGTTTCGGGTAGTAGTGGTAGGACGAGACATCTCCTTAGGAGTACGTCCGTGGGCAAACTCGTCAACAGTGTTGCTGGTGGCCTTCATGTTGGCGAACTCATAAGAGCCTTCCTCACCGAGATCATCGAAACCACCGACAAAGCAGACGCGAGCCTTGCCCTCCATGATGGTCTCATAACCAGTGTCGATGGACTCGACAGCGGTAGCACAAGCACCGACAGGGGTCTTGATAGGTCCGGAAGAGGACATCAACAACATGTTAACCCAGGCAGCCATGGTGTTGATGAAAGACTCTTGAAGAATGTCGTTCTGCACTGGCTGGTCGAGGAAGCGAGTGCGGTGCATGTCGCGGAGAGCGGCGGCACCACCCATACCGGAACCAACACAGTTACCAACTTCGGAGACGTGGACGTACTTGTAGAACTCGTAGGGATCGGTGATACCACAAGAAAGGAGAGCCTCGGCAGTAGACACAAGGAGGAACAGTGTGACAGGGTCAACCTGGGAGACGATATCCTCAGGAACACCGTATCGCTTGGGGTCCCAGCCAGTGGGGATCTGACCAGCGACGAGACGATCGAAGCGAAGAGCCTTGGGGATCCAGAGAGAGGCACCCTTCCTGAGGCGAATGATGTACTCGCCGCTGTCGGGGATCTCGAAGACCTCAACCTTGTCACCGTGCTCACGCTTGAACTCCTCGGCAGTCTCCTTAGAGGCCTCGAAGGGCTCAAGATCCTCCTCAATGACGACCTCGTGAAGCAGCTGCTTCTTGTTGGGGTCGTAGCCCTCGAACAGCTCAGGCTCGATCAGACGAATACCAGAGTGCTCAAGAACATACTTCTCATATTTGGGCTTGACGTCCTTGTCGTCGACGGGCTCACCAGTCTTGGCGTCAACCCAGCCGGAGTAAGGCTTACCCTTGATAAGACCATTGTGGTTCTTGATGAGACCCATGATCCAAGCCATCTCAACGCAACCCTCCAAGGAGAATTCGCCATAAGCCTCCATCTCCCATCGAGTACGAGAGTTACCCCAAGGACCAACCTCAGCGAAACCAGTGACAACAACGACCTTCTCCAGGTCAACCATGCCTTTGAGGTTCTCGTTGAGTGGCTCAATGTCGGTCTTCCAGTCAGGTCGGTTGGGGAAGTCAAGCTTGATGTTGGCACGAGGATCAATTGTCTTCTTCTTGTAGAGAACCTCTGAGGCGGCACCATTGACAATGGTGTTCTCAATGGCGCTCTCTTTGGCAACAGCGCGGCGAACCTCGCTAGTCTCCATGATATCCTTGCGGAGCTTAGTCATGGTCTCGTTCAGGTTAGGAATGAACTGCAGACCACCGTTGAGGTCAGCAAAGACAGGCTCATTTTGGCACAGATCAACTAGAGTGGGAGACATGAGACCAAGAAGGTTGAAAGCCATCTCCTGCTGAGAGAAAGTGCGGACGCCGAAAGCCTCAACGCCCTCCGCAACGATGTTGTTACCAGACATGAGACCAGTTCCTCGGGTCCAACCAATGACCGCACCGCAAATGGTGAGGTAGTTGGCCCAGCTCTCGGAGTGCCACCTGTTGAAGAGAGTCTCGAGGCCAAGCTTGGACTCAGAGTAAAGACCGTCATTACCGAAGGTGCCGTGGTTGGGAGAAAGGGGTAGAACAACCTGAGCGGGTCGGGTCTCGAAGCCACGCTCAGTCTTTTGGGCCTTGACGCATCCGAGGAGACGAACAAGGTTGGTAAGCATGATACGATGAGCAAGCTCAGACTTGGAATCAATGCTGTCAATCTCGCGACCGTTCTCGGGGATAGCAGCGAAAGGAACGATGAAGTCAAGATCCCAGCCAAGACCCTCCTTGGTATCGTAGATGTACTCGACAAGGGCCTCAACATCTTGCTTGCTACCCTGATTGAAGGGAACAACGACAATCTGGGAGCCGCGAGAGCCATAGCGGGTGTACATGGCCTGGTAGTACTCGGTGACCTCGCGGGAGAAGCGGCTGGTGGTGACAATGACCTTAGCGCCACCGCTGATGAGACCCTGAAGGACCTCGGCACCGATGGAACCGGCACCAGCACCAGTCATGAGAACGTGCTTGTCCTGGAAAGTGACACCAGACTTAGCAGCATCCTCAAGGCAGTTGAGGTACACGCCGGTAAGCTTCTTGCTGTAGTCCCAGCCATGGAGACCCTTCTTCTTGAGGTGAAGGAAGGGAATGGTCTCGACCTTACCCTTGCTCTGGCTGTTCTTCAGAACCTTTCGGCCCTTGTTGTCCTTGGGAAGGATCTGGCTCTCGTTCATGGCAAGCGAGCGAAGGACCTCGCCATAAAGGCTCTTGATCTCAAGCTGAGAAGTCTTGGACAGCTTGTGCTGCTGCTTGATGAGTCTGTAGATGCGAGAAAGATCGCTCTGGACCTTGGTGCGATTGCCGTACTCAGAGATCTTGCCACCCTCAGCCATTTGCTGGACATAGTGCTCGAGCTTGCGGCAGCTGGTACGCGGGACTTCCTCGTAGTTGAGGTTGCCCCGGGCGTCAACTGTTGTCCTGGGTCCGGTAGGGAGGGAAACATCCTTGTACACAGGGGCGACATCAAGAACATCCTTGCAGTTCTCGATAAGCTGCTGTCCGAGCTCCTGAGCAAGCTTGTAAGTCTCACCTCGCTCGGTGGGGCAGTTGTCGATATGGTACTGCATGAAGTCGAGGAGCTTGGGGTTGGATCGGTTCATGAGACGAATGCACTGGCTAACAATCTCACGATCAACAGCCTGGAGACGACCGAAGATAATATCGAAGTACATGCTGAGAGCGTCTTGGCGAGCCCAGTTCCATGATGAATCGTAGGTTCGGGCCTTGAGGGGGGTGAAGACAGGCTCGATACCAGAGGCATAGAAGTCACCATGCTCGGCAGTCCAGAGATCAAGCTGGGCTTGCAAAACCTTCTCGGATTTCTGGGAGTTGAGGTGAGCCTTCTCGCCCTCACGGAGGTCGATCTTGAGGTATCGAGCGAGAAGCTCTAATTGTTGCTTGAAGAGGGCACGCTGGTCCTTGGTGAGGGCATCAATAGCAGCAGGATCCATCATCATGCCGCCGCTAGAGCCGCCAGCGGGGCCAGCCGCAGTAGCTGTAGACAGACTGATGCCGGCATTGGTGGCATACTTGTTGGCA